CTGTAACATTACTGTGCGCAAACATTGTTCAATATAAGGGATAGTTCGATGTAAACGGTTCGATATAGTCGGGTTTGGCTGTAGTGCCTTTTACTAGGGCTTTTTAATGTAAAATCACTCATTATCCCAAAATCTTTGGAATTGAGACACATGCAAAAGAAAAAAAGCATCTTTGGAAAAAAAATGTCATAAAACAAATTTTCAATGAAGGGAAAAAAATTTAGAGCTCTATTTACAGCACAAAACGAATCTGTGTGCTGGCACCTGCAGGAGCCGCTGCTGGTCACGTGGAAGATCTGTGCACCGCCGCAAAGTCACGCCACCGCCACTTGCCGACTGTGGTGCGCTGCCATTTAAACGCGTTTCTCCACGCCGCTGGCGCCACAGCCGGAAGAAAACACACCGGCGCGCCGCCGCCATCAATTTCTGACCGGCGCACAGGTCTATTATGGGGTGCTTTCGCTCTTTCAGGAGCTTCCTTCGGGCTCTAAAAGTTACTTCTTAACCCTTTCATGGTCATTTTTTTTTTTACTTGGTGCGATAGCAAAGGGAATACACTAGTTTACTGTCGCATAAAAAATGTAAGACTTAAAATAATACTACACACACTTCAAAACATCTGTGGCATGCTCGCTGGAGGCTGAACAAAAAAACTTAGACGCACCCGACGACTAAAACTTAGACGCACTCGCTTCCAAGAAAGTCTAGCAGACGGTACGGCTGTGTGTCGGATTCCGGCTCCGACTACGAGCTGGTTTCCAGTTGTTTGTAGGATGTTGAACTGTCATCCGACTCGGAGTCCGAGAGCCACCGGTCCAATCCCGAAGAGCCATTGCTCCAATATCCGCTATGCTACCTCCGGAGCAGTCACCACGCACAGCAATCATCTTGTAAGAAGCACTTGCAGAGAGCGTCTAGATTCACGATTTCAAAAAGCCGCGCCAAAACAAATACGACCATAGTTCCCTACAAACCTACCAGATAGCAGCACGTCCCCGCGAACGCGCCCGTTCAAGCAGAAGCGGGAATTTTTTAATCAGCAGTCGCGGACGTACATCCATGCGGGACGCTACTGCGCTGACGTAGAGGTACGTCAGTGACCATGGAAAGGGTAATCTTAATTTTTTGTAGCACTTTTAACGAAGATGAATAAGTTACTTTTAGAGACCATAGGAAGCTTTCAAAAGAGCGCAAGCACCACGTGATAAATAGCGGCCAACTACAAAGTTGTTTCGTGCCATAAATATAGCTCTTAAATGTTTTCTTGTTCGTTGTAAATTTGTTTTATAACTTCCTTTTCCCATTCAAGCGGTCTAAAAAAATATTGTTTTTTTTCTTCCTTTGCATGTGTTCTTTAAAGGGGCAGCGCAACAATTTTGATGTTGAATTAATTGGCAGTTTGCATTTTTTATATTGTTTATGCAAGCCTAAGTGACCAAAAACGCACCACCTTTCCCCGAAAAATCGCTATGCAAATAACAAATTATTTGCCGATCTGCAGCCGCCTGTCGCGATTACGGGAACTAAAATGACAGCGTCTCTGGGGGATACGCGGAATTCAAGAAAACCTCTCCCCCTCCGCTGCTACACTCGCCATCGGCCCCGTGGCTACCCGTCCTTTGTGTCGATCGCTCAATGCGACCTTCGACAATGCTAATCCTTTAAAAGTCAATAATCGCGAAGGAAGCGGCTGGGGTCTCTGAAGAGAGAGATCCCAAGGGGAAACCACATGATTCCCCGAGAGTACCGTATTTACCCGAAAATAGGTCGACCACGAAGATAGGTCGACCCCTATTTATTGAGCCCACCGAGAATAAAAAGAAATAATTCAATTATAGGTCGACCTTTCTTTTCTTTTAAGCAACAGGGGAAAGTTAGGGCAAAAGAAACAAACCCTTATTTACAGCACTCTCAGCTAAATCACAGGGCGATGTCAAAAACTTATTCATCGTCAGAACTTCCGCACATATCGTTGTCCGAAGCTTCGTCAGCTTGGTAGACATCCTCGCAAATTGGCAACAATACCTCACTAACACCGTTGTAAAATGACGACAAGAAGAAACGAAAGAAGGTGGAGACGGGCGAGCGACGAAAGAACAAATACTAAGACACGAGCAAAGCTGCGAGCCCCGTGAGCAACACGCGACCCGCCGGAAAAAGAAAAAAAAAAAAAAAAACTAAAGTACCTCTGTTTTTTTTTTTTTTTTTTTTTTTTTGCGCGTTTGCGAGGAAGAGAGGAATGGAGGGCAAAGTGCACGGCGCATCGCGTTCCTCTCCCTCCCCTTCCCCCTTGCCCAGCAGGGGGAACGCTACAGGCGTGATGGCGAAACCGAAGCCCGAGGAATGTGCGCGAGAGCCCTAGCCGGCGGCCGCGGGCTGTCGGCTGCTGCTGTTCGGTTGTTTTTGTGCATCAAAAGCTTTTTGAAACAAGAAGCCGCGCGGCTCTACCGCAACGCCGGCTAGGTGATTGATAGCTTCATACCTTCGGTAGGGTTTCAAATTTTGGTCGGCGAATTAGGTCGAAATTCTTTGGTCACGATTATAGGTCGACCCTCAATTTTTGACAACATTTCCGAAAAAAAAAGGTCGACCTATATTCGAATAAATACGGTATGTCACTCGAAAGTCAACGTGGAGAGTAGAGAGGCACTTAGACCTTCGATTTGTTTCATTTTTTTTTTTAAACAAGAACTAGCGCTTGCAAAAAAATATGGTTTTCTGCTTTTCGTTCCATAGGTGACGCAGATTAATTTCCACAGTTATTTGGCCAAAGTCTGAAAATTGTTGCACCGCCCCTTTAAAAAAACACTGACACACCCCAAAACTATTGTTAAATTTTTTTGCCAGGCGATTTAATATGGTGTCAGAAGATTACCCAATCAATATTTTGCTACAGCATCACATATATTCTTAATAAAATTGTTCAGCCTTTCCACTCTCGTGAAGAAGGAAGACCAGCGGAGCTGTACTCGATACACTGTGTGCTTCTTCTTCGTCGTCGTCTGTTTTTCGCACTGTTTCCTACGATGAATTCCCACCAAATATCCATTCTTCTATTATAGCTGGAAAGGTTGCCGCCATCTACGAGCGACGGCGGAAACCATACTGGTTGTGTGCTTGCCACCGTCGCTTATAGATGGCGGTAGCTGTCCAGGTAGGTTTGTGTCGACATACACGGACACGATCCTGGGGAACCTAGCCCTTAACAGCTCCGCTGTAAAAACAAAAAACGCAACTGCTCGAAACCAAAACTGAAGCTGAACTGGGGAAAAAGAAGAAATGTAGAGGAGGAGAAAGCTGCCGGAAGTCACGTAGCTACGCCCAACTTTGTTTTCTCTTCTTTTCTTTTTTTTTTTGTTTTTTTGTTTTCTTTATTTTTCCAGTTTGTGCTTTTCCGGTGTGAAAACATCAAGCACAAAGTGCTTGATGTTTTCACACCGGAAACACGTTTGCACGTTTTTTAAGCTCTCACCAATTCGTGTCAGTAAGACGAGCAATGTCTTCAGCCAAAAGAAGAGACGACTCGGCAACACCTTTGTGCAAATCAGCACGGTGGTCGGGCGTGACACATGGAATAAATCTTAATGGGTTGGATCGGTAACTGATTTCTCTTTCAAAGCTAGAAATTCAATGGTACCAGGAACAACAGTTCTGAAATAGAGGTCCCATACCCGTCATCCGCTGCCATTACTTAGTCCACTTCGTTCAGCCGTCCAAACCTTCGAGCAATATGACGCTATATTGAGAATTACGCAGAGAATGCACAGAGTGCTTCCGTTTCCCTGCGTAACATTTTTTCATTCAATCAACGTATTTGCAGTTTTTAAAGTCCACAAAAAATGGGTATCATTGTTTTCTATTTTTATAATATTGAGTGTGTGCCTTCGATGACCCACGACTGATTATATTTGGTCTTTGTGTATAACCCAAAGAGGCATGTGACCACAAAGGAAAGAATGAGCACAGCTCAAACCGGCCAGTTCTCGATCGGCGGTTTTCGGTCGGAAAGAAAACAAATTTTGAGCCGACCTTAGCGAGCATAAGTACCCTGTCAGTGTCTTTTTAATAGTGCCTGGGCACAAAAGACTAAGCCTATTTAAATTTTTACGAGAAAGCAAGTTGCACCGCCAAGCCCCCAACTACCGTATAATCGCGAGTAAGGGCCACACCCGTGCAAGGGCCGCACCACCGTATTTAGGACAAAATATTGCAAAAAAAAAAAATTAGAGAAATTATTTGTATATGCGCCGCAACCCCTTGTTTTTGAGGCGCGCCGACTGTAATGCAAGAAAGTTTCTATGAATACTAATCGCTAGGTGGCGCTAGCCACTGCCCGAACATGTAGCGGCATGTCTCCGCATCCCCAATATTTGCTCTCCACTCACCTGTATCACCATATGGCACAATGGCTGCCGACCTCGATCGTGGTCGGCCGCGCCGTCGAGATGTGTTTAAGTTGCGGCCGGAAGACATTGAGAAAAGATAAAGGATATGTCAGCTTCCGTGGCAAGCGCGAGGAATGGGGATTCAGCGGGCTCGGCTCGCGCGTGCACTCAGGTTTCTGAATGCCACTGTACACTCTGGGGAGGTTTTCTTTTGTTCTTCGATTCGTGTCAAAGCGTCGTGATTTGTCTGCCTTTTCGCGCAACCAGAGCTATGGGCAAGAACCATTTCAACAGTCATACGGGATTCAAGTTGAAAGTTGCCGCGCATGCTATCAAGTACAAAAGAAAAAAAAAAAAAGATGCGAATTGCGCAATATGTAAACTAATTAAATTCGACTGACGATTCAGTCCGGATTCTGGAGTGAAGGCGTTTTCGACCAGTGCAGTCGAGCGCGCTCATGTACGTTCATTTCAAAATGTGGATACAGATTTTTTTTTTTTGTCCGTGTATGGGCCGCACCTTGAAAATTTGCCCTCAAATCGGGAAAAAATAGTGCAGCCCTTACATGAGTTTATACGGTAAAAAGAGCACAAACTGTCCTTGACGTCACTCACAGGTTTGAGTGGGTGTCTTCGGGCGGCCTCGCGTAGCAGGATGGGTGTGGTTGCTGTTTGTAGGGGGAGCCTTGGGCACCACTGGGCTTACTTGGGACCCCCCGGCATGAAACTGAGAGGAAAGCAGAAATAATTACTGGCCTATGTGTCACCGTATCTCACCTTAGGTGTCATAATATGACGCCCTTCTGCTGCCGTCGCACAGCCGCGTGGATCAGTAAATCATTCGCAAAAATCCCTGCAAGGCCATTGCAAAAAAGAATGGCTTCACACTAAAAGCAATAGGAAACGTCTTTACCAAAGATGTTTTCCTGTCAATCGTACAGCCATACAAAATAGTCAAAATCTGTACATTGCACAGGTAATTTGGGAGACTTGCCAAGTATGTTCATATCTAGGACCAGGGATGGGCAGTATTTCAAATACAAGTATTTGAAATACGTATTTTAAATACTTTGTGTATTTTGCATTTGTATTTAATTACAAATTGGATAATGTATTTCATGTGTGTATTTAAATACTAAAATGTGGATATTTCAAATACAATTGTAATTAAATACAATCTTGTGGGTGAAAATACATCTTGTTTTTATGCAAGTGGTAGTAAGATATAGTCTCCATACTATATTTGGCCATGGGGCTTCTTTCTTTTTCTCCTCCGGTTTTGTTTTAAAGGCACTGTCCAGAGCAGGACCAAAACTAAATTCTGCACCGAATGCAGTGTCTCTTAATCAAGCAGAAGCGTTTAGTGACTTTGTGATTACGGTGCTAGTCCAGGGCAAGAATAGTGACGAAATCGACGTTCACAGGCAGACTGGCTAAATAAGTGCCTGTGACCACTTGTGATGCTTTCCAGCCTGATTTCCATTCATATTTTTGCCTGGAACCTTCTAAATGCGCGAATCGTCCAGATTTTCGTAACTGGTGTGAGTTGCAACAATAAAAAAATATCTAGCTACTGCTGCGCGTCTTGGTCGTCTCGGTTCTTTGTTGGTCTATACCAAAATGTAATAGACAAAAAAAGCTGCTTGAAGCTCTGTACTTCTTTCAACTATTACGTCAAAGCTGATTACATTTATTTTGTGATTATACTTCTATTACGTTACTAGAGCCTTGCACACTAACTCCCGAGCGTGCCATGCGAAATTAAAATCAGATACCCAGAAACCCGTTGCAGGTACCAAGAAGTCGCTGACGCAAATTTTGAGGAATGTATTTGGAAAAGTATTTGGAGGAGACCAAATACATTTGGTTTTATTTGTATCTTGTACTTAAATGCTTTTTTGGAAATGTAATTAGATTTGTAATTAAATATGTTTTTGACTAAGTATTTTGTATTTGTATTTCAATACATATTTGCATGTATTTTGCCCATCCCTGTCTAGGACAAACCAGGTGTAACTTCTGCCTTCTGTGGTCTTTCATATGGCCTTGTATAAAAATGAAATGCTGCTAGCTATTTCTACATGACGTAACGACAAACCACACGAGGGAGGCTAGGATGCTCTAATCTGGAACCTGTTAAACGCCACCAACAGCAAGGCTGGTACAGTGTGGAAGCTTGTTCGTTTGCTCCAAGCTTTATTTACTATCTGGAGAGATGTTCGTTTGAAACTGCCCTCTGGGGTTACTGAGAAACTCCCTTGCTGAGAAACCGGGGCAGATGGAAAGGATGCATTGGCGAGTCTGGCACAAGGCAAGCGCAGAAGCACCCCTAGGGGACAGATCTGAGGCCCCATGGTGGGTGAATGCGGTGGGAGATGTCCCGAACGTCGGTCACAGGCATGCGTGGTCCAGCCGCAGAACGTAAATGAATGTAAATAAGACGTTCCATCCAGTTATCATCATTGCCACTGCCTCGCTGTCGAGGTCACCGGCCACAAGCGGGTAGGGCACAACGTCCGACGCCTATCTCCGCAAAAGCGGTTCTCAAACTTTATGGTATCAAGGAACCCCTATCACTCTCACTCGACGTCCGGAGAAACACTCCCGAAGTCGGCATTCGCACGACAAAAAGCGCAAAAGCCCGTAGGGCTCATCAACAATAGTGCCCGTACTAGGGATACGCTGGGCACATAGTTACACATTAGCGAGCGCGGAAGGGAGAGTCGAGGAAATTTGGGAGCTCGAAAAACCCCAGAGGGTACTCAGAGAACCCAGGAACCCAGTTTGAGAACCCGCACTCCGTCCCGACAAAAACTTTGCTCGCACCCCAGTCGGAGAGTCGACCGCCTCGAGGTGGGAGTTGCGCACCTTCTGTCTGTGCTGGGTGAGCGCCCCGGGGGTGAGGAAACGGACGGCGCAGTCGACGCAGCGATGCGAGAAGTGCACCTCCTTGTGCCTCTGCAGGCTGGCCAGCAGGTACGAGGTGTAGGGGCAGTACGGGCAGCAATACAGGCGCACGGGGCTGCAGGCCATCTGGTCGTCGCCAGTTGGGGCCTCCCCGTTGACAGCCGCCGGGCCGTTGCTGGCGCCGCCGGATGGGGCGCCGCCCATGCAGTGGTGAGCCGCCAGCGCCAGGGGGTGGGTGAACACCAGGCAGCACTGGCAGCACATCAGGGCTGCGGATAGGAGCGAGGCTGTCGGCCGACGTCGGAGGTCCCCACGCAACGAACGATTTCGTCACGGTCGCCGACGAGGCGAGAACAGCGGGAAAGAACTTCATTTGCCCCGCCTCCGGGACCAGCATGCTTTGTTCAACGACGCTTCGGCATCTCGTGTGCCTCAGGCGCGGTCACGCGGCCGGAGCACGGCGAAAGACGTGAAGCACGTGCTGGAGGACGGGTGTTAGAGAAACGCGCCCCGACGTTCTCTCTCTGTCGGCGGCTACAGATCCTACCATGATCCTAACATGAAAGACTGCGTAAGATCCCGACCTACGCACACTTGGAGCGCCAGTCCTTGGGTACTGCAACATAGTTTCGCAAGTGCTTTCAGCATGCCCTCGGAGAAAACATACGAGGAGGATCTGAGGGTTTTTATGATGCGACGAAAAAGCAAGGAGAAGAGCACCCTGCTAAAATTTCCTTAATAACGCAGTTTATTCATTTTCATGCACTGCACGTTCGTCGTCAGAAATCGTGGTCCCCAGTTATTTTGGAGCAATGCGAGCACATTTTGCAGTGTAACACATTGTTTGTGTGCCAGGCGGCAAAAATTAACCGCGCACCGCTGAAAGCTTTGAGCCCGCCCGACTGTGGCTCTAGCGTTCTCGAATAACATGACGAAACTGCAGAACTCGATGCTACCCCATTTAAAAGTCTGAAACGATTTTCTATACTTTTTTATGAAATGGCATCTGTTTTTAGCATTAGACATTCATTTCCAAGTTATCAGGGGCTCTACTGGCCTCGTTTTAATCACAAAGAACTTCCCAAACTCGTAACTTTTGAGTTAAATAGTGCTGATTCTGGAAATTTTCAGCATCTTATCCCAATTGCTGGTACCACACCTAAGCAGAGGCTGAGCTTTTGGCAACACATAATTTGCCTCCGCGTTACAAAAAGGTTATTTATTTTCCTCCGCTATCACCCTGCATAACTGAATCTAGGAACACGAAGGAAAAACATTTTTTTAGAAATGCAATTTATTTTGGGAGTTATAAGCAAACTAGGATGACAAAAACAAGCAAAAGATTTTAGCACCCTGACATACTGTATTATGGAAAACTCATTGATTGGAGGGTTGGAGTGAAGCGACTGGCCAATTGGCTGCAGGTTAGGTTCATGGCTGTCACGCCTAAGACAGGTATGCATCATCGCCATAGCCCGTTGCATTCTCCTAAATTCAGGCACCGAACGCAATCGTGCCGACGTCGTCCACCATGCCGCGCCCTGCCGTGCCTAGAAGAGTCCGACAAAACTGAGTCCAGTGCAGCCTAGCGCCCGCGATGGAATCCACCAGTTTCGACTGAGATAAACTTGGGTGCAAAGGATAAGTGAAGTGACAATGAACACAAAAGGGAGTAGGGATGCCGCGAACCACCCTAGGTTCGAATTCGAAAGATTTCGATATTTTCGAACAAAACTGATGTTCGATTTCGAAAAGTTTCGATATTTTCGACCGTAGGGAAGTTCGAATTCGAAAAATTCGCAACTTTCTAAAATTGTGGGGTTTCGAATTCGAAAAATTCGAAGCTTTCACGGTTTCTAAAAGTTTGGGTTCGATTATTTTGAATATTTGTTTACTTGAGGTTCGATAAATTCGAAGATTTCTAACTTTCCTAATTTCAAATTTGAGAGATTCGAATGTTTCAAATTTCTTTGGATCTAAAATTCGAAAACTTCGAACGTTTCGAATTTTTAAAAACATAAAGTTCGATAAATTCTAAGATTTCGAATTTCTTTCTACGAAAAGTTCGAAGGTTTCGATTCTCTTTTAATGTTAAATTCAGAAGAAAAAAAAAACTTTGAAGGTTTTTGATTTTTTTTAAGTCCAAGTGCGCAAAGTTCGAAGTCCGGTTTTGGTGTTCCGCCACAGTTTCAGTTTCAAATAACGTTTTCACGCCTCACTGGTTTTCACAAAATCAGGCTTAGAAAAGTTTGGGTGTGATATTTAGACTGCGCGAAGTTGGTCAGGCATTTAAATGAGACGACGAGTGCCCCTGATGTGCTGGAATATTTGCCAGTCCAGTGACGTGTAACAATAGATCACTAATTGTGACCACCAGCCCGGGGTGGTACTTAACGTGCATTACGAAGTAGTGATCCTACGAACGCACTGTTTAATGATACTCATCCAGTTCGAAAAAACGGCCAGGGGCAGGCAGGTCGTTGAGGTTCACAAAAACCTCGATGTGATCTGGCAAACTGCCCCCCTACCCCCTTGCACGCTGGTAGTATAATCCGATCGAACGCCGCCCGAGTGACGCTGGCATATATTAGGGAGTTTTAAAATAGCGCAAGCTAAAGCTTTGCGCACGCAAAGAATAGTGTCGTCGCCACTGCGCATGCTACGAACGCAAACCAGGTTTCGCGCTTCGCGTGCGCAATTTTAGCGTGCGCTATTTCTAGGAAATAGCGTGCGTATGCAAAGAGCCTTTGCACTTCTCCAAGGAAGATTCATGATGAGAAGTTGGCTAAAGTCAAGACAAGCAAAGTTAAGCAAAAATGGCGGCTTCCAGGATTATGTCGGCGTATGCTTTGGCCACAAGAGTTGGTCGTGGCTTTGGCGACGTCGTGAGTGCGACGTCGGCGGCATCCTCGCGACTGCGATTTTCAATACAAGACGAAATTGTACTCGGTTTGGCAACGATCACCGGCAACTTGATGCTTGCAACGCGCGAACACTTCTCGGCGAAGGTCAGTACACGAGACCTCTCTTGCCGAGGCGACGCAAGCGGGCACGACCGGTCAACCGCTCGCGTCGCATTCTCGTGTTTAAACAAATCTAAAATTGTGATATGGACGAAAAGACTTGTTTCTTTCTAAAGTTACAGCATTTTGTGTGTGAAATAAAAATTGTCACTATCTTGGTGGCGTCGCAAGCGCGAGATGCTTGGGCTTTTGCGTCGCAACGGAGAAACGCTATTCTAAAACTCTCTTGCGTCGCGTGCGCTAATACAAGCGCTAAATTTAGCGCTAGCGTGCACTAAAATTGTGTACGTTATTCTAAAACTGCCTATTAAGTTTAGTTTGTACAGGATGCAAAATCCTGAGACTGGGAATGAAATTTGAAAGAAAAAGTGTAAGAAGACAGAAAAAAGGGGACAGGACAACGTTTCAAACTCAGCTCAGGACAACGTCTCAAACTCAACTCAGCTCATAACTCAGCTCAGAAATAATGTCTCAAACTTAACTCAACTGAGTTTGAGACTTTGTCCTGTCTCCTTTTTTCTTTCTTCTTACACTATTTCTTTCGAATTTCATTCCCAGTCTCGGGATTTTGCATTATGATCAACATACACCAACTCGCCTGCACCTTGACAATTTTTTTGTTTGTAATTGCTTTGGAGGTTTATTTTCTGAGGCGGAAGAAACGTTGAGCAAAAAGCACAGAAGCTGACGCAACTTGAGGTCGAGGAGCGTTCTACCATACCAGTGGCGTCAGAAGAGGAAAAGCGGGGGGGAGGAGGGAAGGGAAAAGGGGGGAGCTCCAGTCTCTCTCCTGCCCCTCTCCCAGATATTTCGGACTTTAAAGAAAACAATACGGGGAAAGAGGGCATGGTTGAGCTTATTTTAATCTGAAATTATTTATGCATATGTATAGCTACTGTCGCTCTTCACTGCATAAAAGATTGTGTAGATGGTCATTGTTAAGGCCGGTTCTCACATGCAGCGAAGCACTGATGTAACGCTGCTCACGTGCCGTCAGGCACTTATCGTATGCCATGAGCAACAGTTTTGACGGTGCGATACAAAGCTGGTGAACGCTCCCGTCGGCTCGTGCTTAGCACGAGGTCAGCGCTATGCTTGTAGCGCTCCGCTGCATGTGTGAACTAGGGTGCCTAGTGTGAACAAGCCTTTAGAAACTCGTTGTCAGGAGGCACTACTCGTCACGTGCTCGGTGGCTCGAAAGTTCAGAGCTATGTCTTTTCGACCTAAATAACTGTGCCATGGGTAAAAAATAATCAATAAATAAACATAACAATAAATGCAAAAATAAATAGCTGGAGAAAAAAAAAACTATCAAGAACTCGCCGGAAGTGTTGTATTTTTGCATATTCAGAGGCCCAGAACTATGAAACAAGTTTCTCCTACCAAAACGTGTACAGGCCAAAAGAAACACGTCCCAAAAACGCAAAAATAAAAAAAAATATATTTTTTTTATGACGCGCTGAACTTGAACAATTTTAGAAATCTTCCCCCATGAGTTGATTTATTCCTCAATGTGAAAAAAAAATAAATACATTATTTTGTATTCTGCAGATGGTAATGATATGTACTGTCTCTGGTGTTAATTTAAATGCGACACCCAAACAATGTAGGCGAAAAAAATTACCAAGTTTAGGGAATAATTGTCTGTAGGTACATGTTTGGATATTTATTCGAAACTTGTCTTGAACAACAATAATCATATCTTAAGACGACACTCACCTAGGCTATATATAGACAATGCTTAAAAAGTTTAACATCTCTACCATAAATAGCTTCGGTTATAGAGTGCTTCAAATATGGCACAAATGACAATTGTCAAAAACCCGTCGTCCTTCCTCGCTCCTTCGGGAATCGATTTCTTTAAAACCAAGCATGCCAGATGATTGAAATAAACGGCATTGTCTTTCGCAAGGAATGCAGCACCCCATGCAAAATTGCGGAAAAAAAATTACGAGTGTACCTCACTGCTTGAATCCAAATGAAACCGTCCGCCGGTCTTTCGAGTTCGACGACTTCAAACTTTTACCCTAAAAGTTCGAAGTTCGTCAAACTTTTCACTTTTCAGGAATCGAGAGTTCGACAATCTTCAAATTTTTTTTGTTCGAAAGTTCGAAAATTATCGAATTTCTTAGCGTAGGAAGTTCGAAAGTTCGAAAAGCTTCAAACTTTTTATGGGCAAAAAGATTGGAAGTTCGAAAATCATCGAATTTTTTAGTCTATCAAGTTCGAAAGTTCGACAAGCATCGAATTTAGCAGCATAATAAGTTCGAAAATTCGAAAAGCGTCAAACTTCTTAATTTAGTAAGTTCGAAAATTCAACTTCGTCGAATTTCTCAATTTTGGAAGTTCGAAAATTCTAAATCTTTCTAACCTTTCGAACCGCTTGATTCGATCACTGAAACTTCGATTCGAAAAAAGTTTGCGGCATCCCTAAAAGGGAGGTTGGGAGAACCCAACGCTTTGACAAGGTTATACTCCGTTCACTCCCAAGCTGATAGTGCGCTCGAGGCTAAATGTTTGCCGGACCAATCTTATCGCTTGACCTCGCTCAACGCGCAAGAGTGAGGGGAGAGGGGAGTGGTCACATGGTTCAAGGTCGACAGTTGAGTGGTCCAGCGAGCATGCAGCTTCCACTGCACTGTCAGCTTAGGGGTGAACGGAGTATAGGAAGAAGGTGGGGTGGAATGGAGGGGGAGATTAGTTGCCCCGGATACGCCATCCACATGTGTGACGGTGTGGACCAAAATTGTATGAGGCTATGCTTCGACGCTCTACACCAAGGACTCTTGGAAGCCCTTTGCCGACGCCTTGGCTACTGCGTCCGGTCTGACTATCTATTTTTAACCAAAAGCGGCCCTCTCTCTTCCACAGATGCTATTTCATGACACCGCGCTCTATGTTTGCGTCATGTAACCTGGCATATGGTAAAAGTTGAACAGCTTGGATTTTTTATTTTAGCGAGCTTTTTTACACACTCGGGGTGAGCAAAAGTGAAAACATCATTAAAAAACCAAAATTAAATTTAAAAATTTTTCATTTATGCTTGGCTGCACAAGCCACGTGTTTGAGACCCCTGACTTAGATGTAAGAAGCCTGTGTTGCCAATCAAGTAAAGCACAATGTCACTGTTTTCATCGTCTTTCTTGGAACATACTATTCCTCGCGGCTCATCCAATTGAGTGCAGAAGGTACACCATCACAGTGCACTTTTGGTTTGTGCGTATCCTACTGCGCCCTGACTCCAGTTGGAATAAACTATAAGAAGGCCGCCTGCTATCTTGGAGCGATCCAGGCAGCACCACCGTCGACGCGCAAGAGCGAAAGAGCAAGAAATAAAAGAAATGTGCCCGCCAAAGGAGCAGGGAGAAGATGCCGCCACCTTTCTTACTCGGGGTCCTCAGGTGTGTTCTCCTGTCGCAAAGTGACGAGCGGTTTCGATGCATTCGGTCGTGCTCAAACACAAGCGCGTGAACCAGCCTCCAAATGTGTCGAGGCTAAGTAGAAGACACCCAGAAAAGCAGAACGAGAGGAGGTCCCTCACCTCCTAGTGGCTCGTGAGTGCTCCGCCTGGGTATCAGGACGTTCTCCTGGATGTAGACATCCGGAAACTCTGGGTGCTTGAGGCCGTGGGCCGCCAAGCCGCTTAGTCGGGGGAAGGTGGCATTGCACAGCCGACACATGTACTTGGAATGCCGGTCCTCAGGCACTGCAGCAGAGACATACACGAGCGCTTTCAGCGGACCCTCGGAGGAAACATGCGAGGGGAGCCCGAATGTTCCGTATAATGTAGCGAAAGACGTTAAGGAGACAATCTCACCGCCAAAACAATTCACTGTTAATGCGTCCATTTCAGTTTGAATGCGGAAAACCCTTTAATGTGGCTACTTACCCGGAACGGACCTCATCTTCCCGTTGAAAATAACAGAAAAGTGTATAACTTTTTAATAAAATAATGGCTAGTTCTGAAACTGTGGCATCTGGTCCGGGTCACCAATGCTATATTTGGCTGGAGACCGAGCATTTGGCGATGCACAATTTACCGTATTTACTAGCATATTGGTCGATACGTCGTATAGGTCGACCCCCTAACTTCGGGACCCCCGAAAAAAAAAAAAAGTTGGAACGGCGTATAGGTCGACCCCCGCAAGCTCTGAGCCGCCGTTACGCGGTGCCTGGCACCGCGTGACTAATCGGCCACTCGAACGCCCGCAGTATCGCCGATGTGTTACGCGAACATATCAAGCACGGAAGCAATGATCGTACAGGGCTAAAAGAAATGTTTATTTTGCACTTTCGCAATCACTCATCGGACGACGATGCACACAAATCACTGTCCTCTTTGCCACTGTCCTCGTATACGGCGTCGTCCTCGGTGCCATCCATGGCATTTGAAAGACCGCACTTCTTGAAAGATCTTGCGACAAGCGCGTCTGGAAGATTGTACCAGGCGGCCGCGACCCATGATGCAACCTCGGCGAGGGATGCCCGCTTAACTCGGCCCGTTGGAGTGAGTGGGTTGTCGGTCTTCCCCATCCACTCCGTGTACAGCTTTCGCACACGGTCTTTAAACGGCTTGTTTAACATCACGTCCAGCGGTTGTAGTTGCGACGTCATTCCTCCGGGGATCACGACGAGGTCGGTTCCTGATGAGCGCAGCTTTTCCTTGACCTTGGCTGTCAGATGTCCGCGGAAGGAATCCAGAACGAGCATGTTCGGAAGACCAAGTAAAGCACCCGGACGACGGTCCCACACCAGCCTTAGCCATTCCAAAACCAAATCGTCGTTGAAAAATCCCTTCTCATTTGTTCTGACAATGACGTTGTGTGGGAACCGCTCTTTCGGGAGTGTCTTCCTTTTGAACACCAAGAACGGCGGCAGCTTCCACTCATCCGCCGTCGCCGCAAGCATCACTGTGAATCGGCTTCGTTCATTTCCAGTCGAGAGGATGTTGACCTGGCGGTTGACGGCGCACAGCAGAGGTTTGAACTGAATGCCGCCATTCGCTTCCAGTGGAATCTGCTTTGTCATTTGTATGGGTTGTCGTTACTTGTATAAGAAGTATCAAGGGACTTTACGCGCTAGAAGAAAGAGTGATAGTACAGGCGAGCTGTCGCTGAGTCAGCTGAGTGCCGACGCGCGCGATGAGAACGGACCGGGATTCGCGTATTGGTCGACCCCCCAGTTTTGATGAGGCGATTTTTGAAAAACAGGTCGACCTATACGCGAGTAAATACGGTATTTTGGCACTAAAAAAATGCTGCATTTTGGGGGGGGGGGGGGGGGGGGGGGGGGCACGCTGTACTTTAGACAGCACAAACCGTCAGCTACGACAAACGAAAGCATATTTTTGCTGACCTTTTCGTGGCATTAACCTTCGTTTAACTTAAAGGGGCACTGACACATCAAAATCATATTTTATTTTGTTATCCGAAAAGGCTGAAAATGATGCCGAGACATTACCCTCAAAATTCGAAACTTGGGAATTCACTATTTCTGAATTAAAAAAACAATTTGCAAATGCCGAATTTGAATTTCCCGCGCGATCCGCGCCAGTGCAGTGAGTCAAATTTTGCGGTCTCCTGCGACTCGACTTTCTTTCGGACCTCCGCTCCATGCTGTGAAGCAAAGCGCCGTTGCTACCGCGACCCGAAGCGAGGAGGAGGTGAGCAGGCGGGATAGAAGGGTGCCGGCGCGGGGAAAAACCGGTTTCTTCCCCGACTCGGCGATAAGCCTCTGCTCGAGTGCCGCCAAGTTTTCCGAGGGAGGATACAAAACCAGGAAGTGATATCACACCGAAATCTGATTTTTGGTATTTCAAAAAGAAAGGCCGTAGTGCATTCGCAATTGCGTTAGAAAACATGTTTTACGATTGCCATTATTAAATGCTATAGAAATGTTGCCAACAAAGCTTATAAATTTCCTAATTTTTGATGTCCCTGATCAAAAGAAGCAAGGAGGTGAGCACGGGAAATATAAACGCCAAAAATAAAAAGGCGTGTGCGCATGCAAGGAAATTTTTTTTTGCAATGCATTTTTTTTTAGTGTCTATGACTACAACTTGCATCGTTTTAGACCATAAAAAAGAATTCGACATTTGGGGTGTCAGTGCCCCTTTAAGGACTGTGATTGGCAGTCTACGGAATAAAACATGCAGAGAAGCACGGAGCGAAACACTTGACAGTAGAGCATGGACCCTATGGCACGTTGGCCCTCTGAAGGGACTGCAGAAACTGGTTTCTTAACAAATTGCGTTATGATTTGCTACACAGTTGTCCGTAGGTGGTGCATTTTGTATACCAATATTCGAAATAATTAGCTTACGTGAGCAAAAAGTATGTAAATAAGAATGCTTTTTACTAGCCACAACGTCCACCTGCATATAACAGATGTCTGATTGGCGCAACAGTCAACGGCAGTAGTCTATGAAGGGCAACCGCGCAGTGGGAAACCCCCCGACAAACCATCTTTTCCATTAGGTTTTGGGTCCATTTAATGTTTCCTCAGAAATAATGACAAAATCACACACATTGACCACGTGCGCATTTTTGCTGCTACACAGAGTTTCCCCTTATAATGGAATGGAACGAATGCTACGAGCCACCCCTGAAAATCCAGCGCTGTGAAAGAATCATGTGACTAGGCACCCTGCACATCACTGCAAGTTCATATGACACTTGCACAGCATGAAATTGGCTTTAATGGCTTGTAGCATCCTTTTTGATACGCCGTAAGGTGGAACCGAGAATAATAGCAAACAAAAATGATGCCGAAATCACTGCCGTCGCTGCGCTGATTTTTGACGAAATGCATTAGCAGTTAGCGTACAGCTTGCGAATCAGCGAGGAATGGGAATTCCAACCTCACAACGGCCCGCATATTGTTGTCTTTGGAGAGCCAATCTTTCCTTCCGGGTGTTAATGGTCTCACGCAAACGGCGTCATCGCTGCGCCTCAGTTTTACATTTGCGCGCACGTCGTGCCGCCGCCATGGCCACTCAATCCCCTTCTCTCCCGCGGCGCGTCACTGGAAGTGTGCCGGAAGACTCTCTCTTGTAAGAGGGAAAGTGGATGTAATGAGCGAACGAACGGAGCGCGCCATGGCCTCACGAAACCAGTCTAGTCCAAATCAAACCACGACCATCCAAACGAAAGATGGCTGCATGCACCGGGGCCATAAATGCTACTGCATTTAAAATGCATGCACCATTCTTCTCTTGGAAAGACCGTCTGCTTTCGGCGAGGCAGAGTCTTTATGAGAAGACGCTTGCAAGGAGACTGCTGTCGCTATCTGTCGGCGGCGAGGGGCGTGCGAGCGCAGATGGGGTCCGAGCCCTGCCCTCACCGTTCACAACGTAGGTGGGGACGTTGGGACCACCAATGGTGCCGTTGATCCCAAACGCCGTCTGGTTAGCCGGTATGTTTGAAGAAAAGGCTCCAATGCCAAAGGTCAGCATGGGTAGGCTGGTGCCATGAAGTTGCAGGTGCTTCACAAGAGCTGCCTCGCTGATAAAGCAGTTGTTGCAGTGGCCGCAGCGCAGCGATGGGTTGGTGTGCAACTGTGGGACAGAAAGAGAGAGAGTCTTGACTCAATTTTATCTTTTCTTTTTGTACGCCCAAGCCAGAGTACGCTGAAGCAACCTAAATACAGTCCAATAAGGCACAATCGAACCTAGGCAATGACGGTGTGTCCTCTAAAGCCGGTACTTGGCATTGTGCGTCCACGCATCTCAAATCGGGCACAGCTGCACTCTCTTGGCACCAGAGATTTGCTACATACGTCGGCTTCAATGTGGTGACATAAGAGCATTCGTCAATTGCATATGCACTATCGACAAACAAAACGCTGTACTGAGCAAAGACGCTCGATTTGCATGTTCCAACCACTAGAGTGAGAGTCACATCACCCGGCTGATATTGAAGCCTGGGAATGCAGAGAAAACCTCGGTCTCAAAAAGACAACAGCTCCTGAAAGAAAAATTTATTTAAGGATCCTCTAATGAGGCATTTATGTGGCTGAGCCTAGATTTCTTGGAGAAATACAGCCAACAGGCGCTCAACGATTAAGGGAGACTAAAAAATATTGCTATGTTTCGCATTAAAACAGCCACCGATCAATTAAAGGCTACTTGAGGCTTCCCCCTCAAACATGTGCAATAGCAATACAAAACTCGGAACATTTTAGAAGCAATGCACTGTTAAGAGATCTGTTCATTAGAAAAAAATTAATAGACTGTATCAAATGCAACTTTTTATAGCATCGAAACATTGAAAATAAGTTGATTTAAAGAAAACTTGACCAGGTCGCAAAGAGGGAAATAACCCAAATGACTTCCGGAATCTCCAAGGTGTTGCTCTCCCATACCGGTCCTTGGGTTCTCCTTTGAATTTCTTTGGAAAATATATATGGCTTGGTAGTAAAAATTAACTTGGTGGGGACCAAACTCTCTATCCTGTTGCAGGTTAAGAAATGCGGGAGAAGCCCCTCTTACATAGTCTCCTCACCACTGTGAAAGTTTTGGAGCAGAAGATAATTCACATGAACAAAAGTAACTTGTCGTGATCCCGCAACAGTCACTTTTGTCCTCATTGTGAATAATCTCTCGTGCCAGAGTATGTACAAAACAGCTGGCGATCTTGAGGAAGCTTTGTGGGAGGCGTTTCTCCTACAGTTCTGAGCCAACAAGCTAAGCATTTTAAAGAATGAGGGGAGGAGGAGGAGAAGTCTACCCTCCCCTCAGTACCCTTCCCTCCTCCTCCTCAAGAGCTGCGCTCCAACTCGGCGTTACAGGGAGTTGTAAACGGCTTTCATTTGCCCCGGGGAAGTCACCTGACTTTGGGGGGGAGGGGGTCACGTGACCTCGGGGGGAGGGGGGTGTCACGTGACCTCGGGGGGAGGGGGGGTCACGTGACCTCGGGGAGGGGGGCCACGTGACCTGGGGGCTCACATGACCTTGAGGTGACCTTGGGAGGGGTCACGTGACCTGGGAGGGTCACGTGGCCTTGGGAGTGGTCACGTGACCTTGGGGGGTCACTTGACCTTAGGGTGACCTTGAGGGGTCACATGACCTTGGGGTGACCTTGGTTACATCGACGGCGACGCCGCTCAAGCCGGAAACGGGCGCCTAAGAGCTGCGCTCTAAAAAATTGCCTGGCATAAGCATTCATCAAATGCAGCAAAGGTGCGTATGACGTTTGTTTGGCACTTGATGGGATGGGGTACGCCGTAGGAGGTTATGGAATGTGGCTCGCCATAGGAGGGCACCATAAAAAGGAGCTGGGGAAGGGGGGGGAGATGGAGCGGTGCACTAACACTCCCCTCTTTCCCTCCTATGGTGAAACCCACAAACCAACACATGCAAGCAAGGCCATGGAAGGTTCCCACAATTGCTCTAATATTTGTTTGCCGGCAACACAGTGACTGGACGAATACCACACCTGCAACAATAGCTTTCATTGTAGCTTGTGTCCTAGCAGGCAGGTTTTGATGATAACAGCAAGTCTCATTAAAAGCAGCACCTGCACCTTAGACGCCATCGAGCTAAATCGGAAACTCGTATCGTCCTGGCTCATCGCCCACCCCCCTGCTGCCTGAAATTCCCCAAAAAAAGTGGGGTGAGTCGTGTCTCGGTGGGTAAGCACAAAATGTTTAGTAAAAGCTAAAAAAACAGAAGTTTCTGTACATATTTAGCGCGGCTGCACAAGAGATACATGAAATTGAAAACTCAAATTAGTTTCATTGTTTTAAGCCTTAAATATTCATGAAAGTATGTTTGTTGCTTGCATACACGCTATGAACACCTCTGATCGGCATACAGCGCAAACGTTTGTTTCGTGAAAGCATGTTTCTAACACCGCTATGCTCTGTTTGTCATTAAAAAAAAATTAAGCAAAAAATTGTAAAAACCAAACAGGTGCAACGAGCGAGCAAGCAATCGATCGGCTGAAAGAAGCAACGAAGAGCGATGCTGGGGATGCAGGAAAGCCGGCGATAGTGTTGGTAAATACTTTGGCGTCGGGCCAAGTTGGGCACCTTGTGAATGACAAGGAGCAGACCCTTGTGCAACTTTCTTGTTTGGTCCATACATGCGTGCACCCATGCGCAGCGTGCTACCAACGCGGGTTGAGGTGGCATTGCTGCATGTGCATGGCGTGGACAAAAACACGGAGCTTGAAATGGGGCGCTTTACAAGCGTCTCTGAGCGGCGTTCCAGCAAATCTTTGTTTACCCGTTGGCTTTGTCCTAAACGTCGCACCACCTACGGTTGCAACGTTCCAGGAGAAGGAGCGGTTTTGCAGTGACCTCATTTCGGTGGAGACAGACTTTGACCTCACACTCCGCGTTTACATTCCAAGATATGGGACGTTCGCTAACCTCGCCATCTATGAATGGGTTACTGATTGTGTTATCTCTCCAATTCTTTTTTACTAGCTTTTTCTGTAAGCAAAAAAAAAAATTTTATTTCGCTATATTTATTGTTTTCTTTTTTGCACGTATGTACTATGACTTCAGAGTCGCAGAAATCGAGGAGGAAATGCGTAAACAAAGTGAAGTGTCTTTTTCTCCTTCGTTTCACTTTGTCAAGGACGTCCTCCACCCGTCAGATCCGCAGCCGCGTTATTCGGGTAAGATTAATGTTTCTCCTACCCGAATGACGCAGCCGCAGACCTTACGGTTGGAGGACGTCCTTGACGTCAGCGTTGGGGTATTTGTAGGGGTGGGCGATCACTCAGTGTTTTTATGGAAATCAATATTCGCCCAAAAAGTGGGGTGGGTGATGACTTGGGGATAGGCAAGGACTCGAGATATTACGGCAAGTTCGAGAAACCAAAGGTCCCACCTTGCTCGGTTAAAAAGTGCCATTAAGTTGAGTTTATTCACCCTTTTTTGTTTAGCACTGAACTCAGTAGCACCGTCTAACAGGTAGCCCTAGCACACTTCCGGCCAGCGTATATTAAATTCTTTTTGTGCATCATCCTTTCAACATAAGAGTGAATTCTGACCATGCTCTAAGCGACAATTTCACGAAGGTAGTGCATAGATTTGATTTTGAAAAATACTGCAAAACCTACTGCCTAGTTCAGAACCAGAAATGCTTTAAGGGATGCTGCATCTAAATTTTGATTTCAGAAAACAACGCGGAAGCGCTAGACGGGGCGCTACAAACCCGAAAGCATCACTCATAAAGTGATATCTCCAATGGATGGTGGTCGTATTCTTGTGAAAGAAGGGCGCACTTGAACAAGGCCAAAAAAAGCCAGTGATGTCGCGATTCTCGTTTCCTCCTCTTCTCGCTTTGACTCTATGAGGACACGAAGAGGGAGGGAAGCAAGGCCCTTTCCCCTCCTCCTCAACAATTTCGGTTCAGCATCCTTTTAGGGGCGACTTGCACACTAGCACCCCCCTGTTTCAACACACAAGAGAAAGGGCGCTGTAGCAATCAGCTACAACAGCGGTCCCAAACTCATTTGAGCGTGCGGGCCAGATAGCTGACACTGCGAAGGCCAAGGGCCAAGGCTAGATGGAGGTGGGGGTAAAAGATTAGGAGAAGAGACCTCGTGACGTTTTTAGTTTTAATTTGTTTGTATGACTACTTTGGGCCCTGACGTGATGTGATACCACATTTTTAATTAAAATGACACCGCCCCGCCAACGCGCTCGCATTTTTAACAGATCAAGAGAGCAAGTACACTGTAGTTCCCGTGGTTCAATTCACTCAGGAATTAACCAAGCTCTAAAAACAACCAGTTATTTGACAATTCCTGTTTTTCTGACGAATTTCATTACAACACCCATACTTCACTTTTGATTCTGATATTTTGTTCAGGCGAGAATCCCGGTCATTGCTCCTGCTGATCGAGAGTTTGCACAGGCGAGATGCAATCTTCAACAAATAACTCACGCTTGCAGCCTAGTAGCGGAATTGTTGTACATTACAAGAAGCTGGGAAGCAAATGATAAAGCGAAACAAAGGTCAAATGAACACAGATCAGTTAAACTATGTGATTACGCTGAGAGTGGAGCGAATTTCGAGCGAAAATGAATTGTCTAGATGAGATCACAATGGCGCACGCCATTTCTAGTGCTCGAGACATGGGAACCAGGACTCGTAGCTGGTTGGTTGCCTGCGGGCTGCGCCTCAGCGAGTCCCCGCCACGGGAACTGGGACTTGTAACCAGTGAGTCTCAACATGAAAACCGGTTCCCGCGTTGGTAGCCGGTTCCAATGTTGGTAGCAGGTTGTCCGTGGCAACCGATTCCCATGTTGGTAGCCGGTTGCCCGCGGGCCACGTGTTTCGAGACCCTCGAGCCACACGAAAAGAAGTCACACAAAAAGAGGTGTGAGAAGCAAGCCTCATGCACAGAGATTTGTCGTGGCTTCTTTCTTGTCTCCTCTTCGTGTAGCTGGTTGCTACGCTTCTATTCAAAGCCCAGCTTAGGCCAGTGCCCAGAGTCTGGCAGCAGAGGGTAGGGGAGTGCACCTGCCTTGAGGTGGTCCCTCAGGATGACGGCCATGTCCGTGGCAAAAGCGCAGAAGCAGCAGGTGAGCAGCGGCCGGTTGGGGCGCTCCTTGGGGCACTCGTGCAGCACCAGGTCGTCCAGGGCCCGGAAAGTGCCCCGGCACAGTGGGCAAGGGTACTCAGTCCGCTCCTGGATCACGGGGTGGCCGCCTGCACGAACAGACAGGGGCTGGTCTCGGGGGCTCCCAGAAGGAGCCTACTCTGCCTATTCGCAACTCCAGCCTGCCGCTCGCCCTCTCGAAGACGAACGGAGAACCAGAAGAGCGGGGACGGCAGCGGCGGCGGCGGCGCAAAAACGGTGATAGGGACTATTGGCCTTGATGCGTGAAACCGTTTTAACAAAAAAAGTGAGCGTTAAAATAGAAATTTTTGTGCTCCACCTTGCAATAGCGTTGCACAAAGGACCGGGATGTCTAATTTCATTATAGACTTTTCGTATATCGCATATGCTGCGGATTTCTGGTCTTGTGCATGGCCACCAGCTCAATATGTGCTCAACGTGACGGCAGCAAAAGCTCCCGCTAATAATGTAGAGCTGTATAGTGCAGTCTACGAAAAGTCTATTCTTTGCCATAAGTAGGAGAAAATTCGTCGCGCAACGGTATGTCAAGCAATACACATCGGGAATGGGTTCGCGTTTCAAGGCAGTTACAAGGAACATGACCATTTATTCTAAGCACTTTAAAAGGACAGAAAACCCGTACTTGCTTTCAGGTAATTACAAAGCAAATAAAGAGATGCTCGAACATTTTAAGCCCGTCTGTGTTAGCCAGCCGTTTGTGATGAAAGCTTAGAACGGGCAGTTTCGGCGCGAGGGGAGCAATGTTGCAAATAACACGGTCTGAAAAATGTATGGTATATTAAAATATTTATTTTGATAGAGCAATAAATAAAACCCCTAAACACATTGATTATGTTAATATGCAGTTTTAGCATAGCATACGACACCCCTAAACTTCCGTTGGACGTACAGAGCACCGACGTTTAACCGACACTACCAACTTTCACGAGCGGCTTGATAGCCGAATTCAACTTATTAAAATTGCTTTAATAAGAGTAAATGACTGTTAAAAATGTGTAATCGGGGTTTTCTTGGCCCTACTGCAAAGCCTCCATTTTTTTTTTTTCTGTAATTTTTGATGCATACTTTAAAGGGCAACTCCGCTTAATTTCAAAATTTTTGAGATAGTGGCCGATTTTGCTTTTTTGAAGCACTCAAAAACAATCCCCAATCCTTTGTTTCGCGAAAAATAAAATATTTTTCGTGTAATTTTACTTTAGCCATGATCACAAACCGAAACCGAAACGGTGGCAAAGCCGGACAACATTGTATATTCGGCATCACTAAGCATGTACACCCACGTGATATACAAGGGGAAGAAGGAGCTCCCCTCTTATCAGGATCCTCCTTTGTGCCTCCTGGATTAGCACCAGGCGTCGCTATTCTCCTCCCAGAAGATTATAGAAGATTAACCTGTCACTCAAAATTCTTACAAAAGCAGCTTCCCTCTCCTCATTTTACTTGGTGTTCAAAAGTATGCGATGTAACACAAGCCGCGCTCAACGAGGCGATCGCCTTATCAGTAGTATCAATAGTCGAGCGCCGGGCCGGCCGAGCGCGTCACTCACGTCTTTCACGGCGCTGGCGCCACCCGTGCTCTCCCCGGGAAGGAAAACAAAATTGAAAAAAAAAAAAAAAAGAAGCTGTACATGCTTGATGACGTCGCGGACGTGCCGGGAGAAGGAATTTGGAGGAAGCGGAAATGCAGCCGGGCAGTGTTGTCTGGCCCGCGCGTCTCATCCAAAACCAGCGGATTCGTGCTTGTCAAACTTTGACAGCGATTTTAATGAACTTCTAGGCGGAATTTCGTCGTAATATTTGCCATGGGGGTTTTGTAGATGATAACAAAGAGAACTGTATAGTTTTGCACTACTAGAAAAGAAGCGGAGTTGCCCTTTAATATCTTATATCGCACAGTCATCAATCCTCTCGTAAAAATTGGGGCCGTCAGTTTAACATCAGTGCGCTGCACGGCGAACTTAAGTTTTGGGGTGTCGTATATCTGACAAGGGGTATAAGGATTACGACCGTTTTTTTTTTTTTTTTTAGAGTGAAGAGCACGGCAACGTTCCTGGCGCGCGCTGAAAATTGTGCTTCAAAGGCACAGCGCGAGCTTCCGGTTGTAGTGCTGCACCATACGGCAGCTTGCAGTAACGAACATTCTATCAATAACCATAGAGCAGTTTGATCACGTGTTGCCATACACTAAAACAAAGACGGTAAGCAGCGAGTTGTGAGCCTGTGACACGAAGACACCAATACTGCGAACGCTGCCCTTCCGAAGCTCGACGGTCACCGTTCGCGGCTCACTTTTTAACGCACTAATGGCCAGGCAAAGCACAAACGTGATATCTTCATCACCCTCGGACATATTCTGCCACAAACAGTGACGTGGCCGGTGCCTGAAACGCGCTTGCTCACCACAAAGCTTCGCAAGTTGAGGTTTCTGCAACTTTTAAATATCAGCATGCTCGTTTTCCTAACATGCATCAACATCTCCGCCACCTGTAATTTGATCGCACCCTAACCGCTTCGCATTTGTAGACAAATAAATCCTTTTAGAGCGCTGACCAGCGTCAGCGAGCAGGCGCACGGGAAATCCTGGAGAATTTATCCCCGTCTCTACCGCCACCAACACTATGTGCCTTAGAGTGCTCAACACAACAACCCCCAGTACTCACTATGGGAAATGGTGAGCAGGTTCTCGAGCAGCTTGCCCCGGTCGAGGTAGCTGGCGTCCGGCGACTCGTAGATGGCCTCCACAAACATCGCCGGGCAGTAGTCCTCCCCGCCATCGCTGCCACTCGGAGTCTGCAAAGCAAATAGCACACACGACACGACGGTAGTTGAAACTGGCAGGCGAAACTTGAAAAGAAGTGCCGTGGAAGTTGTAGGAATTCGCAAACCGCCGCCGATTCGCCATTTCCCACGTGGTCCGTCAACAACCCGAGTCCAGCCTGGTTCCTTCACGGGAGCGGGATTCCGCTCCCCATTTACTGGTACATAAAACACAACACTACAAAACACTCAATCTAAACTACAAATACACGCGATATTACACAAATATTTACAAATGCACGTTAAGCCAAAGCTAAACACAAACAGGGTCCCCAGGCCTCGTGTCCCGCGATTACCCTAGATTCAGTCACCACACACTTGCCTGGTCTCGGTAGCGTCCAGAGTCCTAAGAGGCTGTTCGCCCCCTGGTCCACCGCCTATATCTCAATCAACGAACGAGGAGGTTTCTCCTCGCCCGCCCAGCGCGCTCTCCAGTGGCTAGGAGAGCAAGCGGCACGTCGGGAGCCGAATTCGAGATCCCGATCGACCCCGCGGCGACGCAACCATGTGATCGTGTCTGAGGCGAGGCAACTGCAGAGCTGCCTCGCGGCAACTATGCCAGAGTGGTTTGATGGGCGCCCTCGTGAATGCACGGTGCGCCATAGAGCCTCAGAGTCACAGCCGACGTCTCGATAAAAGACTTGTACCTTCTGCGGGGCATCTATGAGTTGCTCTGAGGAAGCTCAGACTTTTAGCAAAATGTCAGCTGCCACTCTAAAAGCTTACGAGATTTTTATCCGAACAGCAAAAATGGCAATCATCAAAACCTGCCGCTTCACCATGCGTATGCATTCACACTGCACGAAGTGCAGCGTTACGCATGACGCTTATGCTCGTGTTAGGCCCGCTTCAGACGGGGCAACTTTTCCCGCAATTATGAGGTTGCTGGCGGGTTGTTCCCTAGCTTTCCCTAGATCGACGCGAATTGCTGAGATTGGGTCCGGCTCGAACATGCGAGCAACTCGGAGCAATTCGAAGACGGTTGAAGCGGCTGCAACCAATCAGAGACACAATATTTTCACGTGACACCCCTGTGGTGGTGATGATGACAGCTAAAGACTTAGTTCTGGTTTGGAATGGATGGTTTTCGGAAATAAACAGTTTCAGAAAAATGAGTAAGTATTCTCAACGCCGTTCAAAGATAAAAGAACGCGTTTTTAGCGCGTAGCTGGGCGTCTAATTAGTGAAACAAGAATCAAATTTAATGATGATGATGGCAAGTCGGAGCAATTCAGTTGCTGCGTGTGAACGCGGGCGGCCGGTGTTGCTGGTGTTGCGACGTCAAATTGCTGGGGGAAATTGCTCCGTCTGAAGCGGGCCTTAGAGTTGTTATCGTAGGAACAGCCACAATCGAGGTTGATGAGCGAGTTGGCGTGCGTGCTGATGTCGAAGACGCCTCGTTAGCCGATGAGCGTGCGAACTACGAACACAACCGACCTACCAGTTAGCTGCAAAGGGTACTTTTTTTTTCCTTTACTTGTTTACGACAAGTTAGGCGTCCGGACAGAAATAATCGTTCTCGTCGTTGCAGCTTGAAGCGTGCGCGGCAAACACTCAAATAACCTCACCGAAACGACGCTCACTTGCAGAGAAGCTACAAGACCATATGATATGCTCAAGCTTAACGCTAAACACTCAAAATCGGATACCGCAGAAAAAAAAGCTCGAAGGCAAGACGAACAGTGGAGGTGAAGACTGGCTGTTTTCTTTATAAAGAGTGGCCTCAGATACAGCTTTAGCAAGTGCGCACAGACGCTTGCATATACTGACAGAGGCATCGGAACGGCCGAGACGAGTATGAATATTTGAAATACATGAGGGAGTTTCGAGCGCGCTCGCTGAGGGAGTAAACAATGACTGTGTGCACGAAAGATGCAAAATGACGAGCAAAGAAGCGGGCTCGCGGGCCTCCCCAGTTATTTTGAATTCTCACCCTAGCAAAGGAAGCGCCGCCGAATCGGTGGAATAGCAAAAACGCTGCGACCGATGTTTGAATGAATGGCTTACCGTCATAACTTCACGGGGGTGCAATACGTGCGGAACATCGAGATCTCTGTCGAACAAGCGGCATTTGAACTTTACACAAGCACGGAATCGAACATGGAAGCGAACGAAGAACGGAAGTATGAAAGCAAGGCATTTGCTTCCGTTGGTGACGCTACATGCGGCTACATGTGCTCGTTCTACGGCCAATTTTTTTTTACCATTTAAATAAAATATAATAAATTATATATATATTTGATGACAATATATTACATTACAACAATATAACCTGATGGTTAATATAAAAAGTACCACCAAGCTATGCCACCAAGTGACCAAAATCTTAAATTCTGTACGATAGCGCAAAATACCGTCTAATTCAAATATACACTCAACATTTTTATGTATTTCCCTATTTACTATGTATGTTCTTGTCAGTGTTGCCAGATTGGGCTATTTACAGCCCAATTGGGCTACATTTTTTTCTAGTTGGCGGCGTCAAACTTTCGTGGTTGGCTATGGCTATTTTGGGCTATTTCTAAGAATGCGGCGAACTTTTGTCGTTCCTCAGGTTCGACGCCGAACTTTGAAGTTCGGCTAGTTAATTTTCAAACTTTTAATCAGAGTCGAAACAAAAAAAAAAAAGTTTCCCTTTTGGCTAGTCGAGAGTAGAGCTCCTTCGGAGCAGAGTAGCGGAGTAGCGCAATCTAGAACGCCGCCTCTCGGCGACTAGTGGCGAACGCCCGGAGGTTCCAACTGCGGTCAGAAATGCATGGAGAACGTGAGAAAATCGTTGTTTCTTCAGTATTGTGGGGATGTACGGAATGGCAATCTTTTTTGACATAATAATGGAACATTTCAGAATAATTTTCGCTAAGTTTTGTGCCCCGCAAGGACGTGACTTTTTTAAAAAAGTTGCCTGAGCAGCATCATGCAGCAGACGACACGGCGACGTCACATCATTCACGTGACCCGCTCCGGCCAACCCGAAAAGCCCATCTCCGCTGCGAGCAAAAATCGTCTGCTTCAAACGCCATTGACTTGGAAATAGCCTTCTCAAAATTTGCACACGCATCCGATATTATTAAAACTTTGATAAAATGTTTAGTGCTTTACTAAATTCACGACAGACTAGTTTTGAAAAGCGTGAACTCGGCGTTCATTTTTTAATCAGCCGTGTTGAGTCGATCTCCATGTGTTCTCCCATAGGGCTGGCCGCCTCCTGGAACCCTGAGTACCACGTGACTCGCGCCGATCCGCTCTGTCGGCCATGTTGTCGGCAAAACACGGAGTTCAAAGGATTGCGCTACTCTGCTCCGTAGGAGCTATATAGTGCTCTAGGTGACACTAAATATCAACACCTCTAATATCCTTCACAAAGAAAAAGAGACGGGGGGGGAGGTTATTAGTAAGGACTAGAGTCACTGTATGGCTCTAGTAAGGACCTGAAATATTGGGGTTCTGGTCTGCTTCTGTATTTTGTCCTTTCATTGTATGATCATATCTCCCGGGCTTCTCAATAAAGCTGTCTTTGAGTGTTTTTGTACTTCCGAAAACCTACGAAGGATAAGCCAGTTTTGTACGGATATTCATCCTTCCGAAGCTTCTCCAGTCGTTTGGCGGTTTTTTGGTGGGACCACCTGGCAACACTGGTTCTTGTCACGTGACTCAACGGACACGTTCAAATCTGTACGCGGCCGTTGCATCCACTGTGGTTGCATCTGGTCAGGTTAGCGTTGGTCATTTAGAACCGAGGTATTCTATACGACCACTACAACTGCCTGCTGTTACTACGAGTCCTCGTCCGTAAGTTCAAAGTCTGGTGCCTTCAGCGCTTGCATCATCCACTTCATTTCTCCGTCCGTGCAACATTCCCGCTGTTTCACTATGAACCCATACCATATAGCCCAGTTATCTTGTCCTCAGCCTTCTTGTGTGCTTCAAAGCCTCCATTGTCTCACCCTGTAAGCACAGTAGCACTGAAAGTCACAATGTGCTGTAGTGACTGTATTTGTTCCGGTTTCTTGTCGTTGACGTTCTACCTCCATGGTCCAATGTTCGTTACATTGTTTTGGGGAGGGCTTGTTCCTGTTCTTATAACTGGTAAATCCGTGCTGCCAGCGTCAGCAATGACGTTGACCAGAGTGCCTCGTCATTCTGCCAGTCCTCCGTTCTTTCTGGTGCCTATCAGCGTCTTGTTAGAAGCTACGCGCACATTCCGCCCCCACTGACCTTTTTTTTTTTTTCTTTTTTTTTTTATTGGGGGGGGGGGGGGGGGGGAAGGCCGAGATGAAAGTTGGTGCAAGCTTGCACTTGACGTCGTAAGGCACCGTACCAACCGCCATTGCTCCGTATCATTCCTGTGCCCGAACCTTCTGCAGCATACATTTTGGTCCAGAGCACTGCACGGGCCCGGGCCAGCCCGAAAGCCCGAGCCCGGCCCGGCCCGCGGGCCGGGCTCGGGCCGGGTAGCACGTATTTTCTCGGGCCCGGGCCGGGCTCGGGCTTGAACAAAAAAGTTCTCGGGCCGCGCCGGCCCGGGCCGGCCCGGGCCGTGCCTGGGCAATCTTGTGCCGTAAATCATAAATTGTTGTTGATAGCAAGAAGTTTGCTCATTAATCTTTTAGGTTCATTGAATACAAAAAAAGCGAAGTGCAAATTCACTACAGCGTCGTTAAAAATAACTAAAAGACGTCTTGAAGCTAGAAAGCCTTCAAGCTTTTTCCGTGTGAGCGAGGGTTCAGTGTTATAAATTGTAAACAAAATAAAGTCCCAGACATATGCTTGCCAACCTGTCTGATTCATCGCTCTCAAAAATATCTAGTTCACTATTAGGAAGATTTAAAAAAACGTACGCAAGCGCTTTGGGTACCGTAAAAATAGCGTTGCGATGTAAAACCTATGGCGATGCTAATTTTAGCGTGCCCAAAGTGCTTGAGTATGTTATTCTGACCCCCTTATTGCACAGAGCGCGACACTATATTAGCGTGAACAAGCGATCGTCGTGTTTTTATGTTTATCTTATAGAATCAAAACGCTGTTTTCAAAACTATTAGTGTCTTTAGAAGTGCTCATCTGGGCCACAGACCTAAGCGGTATACTTTGGTGCCTACTAACACCATTTCGAAGTAAAATTCGAAAAAAGAGCCAACGTCGTGTTCGCGGTATCAGTGTCGCGCAGTGTACATAGTCCGTTCCGCGCTTGCACGTTTTGGGAACCATCTTGAAAAATACGTTTTAAGGGGTTAAGTAGGAATATATTAAACTTAAGCTTGTCTGAAAGGGCTGTTTATTTTAAAAACGCGTTGACATGTCAAGCTACTTCAGAACATATTCTTAAACAGAAAAGGTGTGCAGACCAGGCTTAGAACGATGGAGACTTTTTGCGAAGAGGTTGCGATGTGCAGGGCCTTATAAAAGTAGGTTGAAACGGGACGCGTTCAAACGCAAAGGGTGTTTCGGAAACTGGTTCAAATAAGAAGGGCGTTTAGGGAATGGGTTGAAACAGGACAAATTCAAACGAGAAGGGCGTTTAGGGAACTGGTCGAAACGGGACGGGTTCAAACGGGAATGGGTTGTTTCGAGCTACAGTCATTTGGCCGGGTCGGGCGGGGCCTAGAAATTAAAAATTCTGTCGGGCTCGGGCCGGGCCCGGGCAGTGTCTCTTCCGGGCCAGGTCGGGCCGGGCCTAGAAATAAGAATTCTGTCGGGCTCGGGCCGGGCCCGGGCCGTGTCTCTACCGGGCCGGGTCGGGCCGGGCCTAGAAATTCCGGCCCGTGCAGTGCTCTATTTTGGTCCATCGTATTTGTTCTTGGCAAACCTTACACAGAAGAAGACATTCGATCGCGCCAAATGTATGCTGCAGAAAATATGGGTACCAGAGCAATAGTGGCTGGTGTGACGTCAATGCAAGCCATGTGAACCGCAAGCTTTGCTTGAGCCTTTTTCGCAAGCCAGCCTGTACTGGTGTCGCTGGTCTGTCCTAAATAGGGATGCCACGGAACTCCCAAGGGTCCAGTTCAAAAGGTGCCGTTTACGCCGCTTCACGGCGACAGTTTCTGGTGGCTCATTGCAAAAATTTTAACTCACCTGACCTAGCCATAAATGCCGCGTCGCGCTAACAGTCTGTTGCAGCTTATTGCAGAAAAACGCCAACCTCAGCTGTCGATAAAAAGTCGCTCGACGCTCTATAAACTGACTGCCTCCGATATTTAGGACAGGCCAGCGACATCAAAACCTGCACAAATAACGGCAGCTGACACTAAAAGCGCCAAAAAGACTGGGACAGACGACACAATTCCTTTGTCCTTGTCTTCTGATGCTTTTTGTGTATGCTCCATTCACCTTCAAAAAAAAAAAAAAAAAAACGAAAAGAAAAAAAAGTTTAACAATCTAATTGGGATATGCTTGTCAAAAAATTAAATTCGCACTGAAAGAAAATTTTTTTAGAGCCATATTGACGGCGCGAGACGCGATTTAGTTGGTAGTCACTTCCTTTACACTTGTTTTCTCTTGGCATTTCGGGCATGTGGAGGAGAGGTTGATCGGCTTCGCCTTCACATTGAGGTTGCAAGAGCGAATGACCATCTCGTTGAGGTCGAAAGAGTGAATGACCATTCCGTGACGTAATGGACTTTGCGTGCCACAGAATTTAAAATAAATCTCTGACCGTCAATATTGCTCTAAAACAAAAATTTGATTTGCGTAAAATTGCCAAGGTGCACGACCACAACTACAGATCCTGCACCTTGGCTGGATATGGCTGCACGCACAACGCGTTTAGCCGTTTCCTGGACAACTTTCCGTAAATAACCGTTTCATGAACACGTCTCATCAAAACATTGGCGTTTCGTAGACACACACATCTAATAATGTCTTTTATTTTTTTTTTTTTAAGCTGGCGCATGATATATTGGGACGCATTTACTTGTGATGGTCCGAATCTCCAAACTTTTGAAGGAAAGTTCGGCAAACGTCTGCGCATGCACGAGAACGTGACAGGGCGACGGATTGCAAATATACGCCGTGTGGTTGTCATCATACGGTGTATTGCTACATTACTACTACAGGGGTGGAACAACTGCGCCATTTGCGCCATTTTGCGCCAGACGCATATGTCTGCGCCATCCTGCGCCATGTTGCAGAAACTGCGCCACAGCCAATACCTCGCGCCATTATGCGCCAGATCGCAAAACGTGCGCCAAGAAACTTTTTATTTTGTCTTGGTTTCGGTTTTATTGACTCGATTCGCAACAATGAGCGCGTTCAGCCTGGTCGGCCTTGCAATCCTTTGTTCTGTTTATTCTCCCTGTGTATCCCGAGTCGGAAGCGCGCGAAAAAACTCGGATTCTAAGCGCCACACCACCTGCGACTGGATTGTTATTCTTCAACCATAATTAACGGTTAAGCAAGTCGGCTGAGGTGAGGTCGAGTCGTTAAGCGTCAAATTGCCTGAGGCTCTGCGGCCCGGGATCCGGACGTCAGCCAGTTGAAAACAAATGAGCAAGATATTCCTTTTAGTACTTCATCGTTAGAAGTTGGAACCGCATTCTTGCAAGATAAATCGTGATTTGGTTGAACTGAAACGCGGTCCGATCCGAAACCTTTCCGGCCAGCAGCTCTTTTGCGAGTGATGGATCTGCTCGGCGTACTTTAACCTTGCTCCTGCTTATCGCTTCAAATACGATAACTTCGTTAATCGTAGTCTGCTGCTTCGTAATCGAGTTGCACAATAGGATAAACGCGAAATTTGTTGCCCTGTTCCTCCGTGCAACTGTACGTCCATTGCTTGCGCACGTCACGGGGTTCGCACATATAATTACTATGTCAAGCACGTGTGGGTTGTGCGATAAGCAGTGCTGATTTGCATTTTGAGCAGCTGAAAGCCGCTCGGAAAATATCAAGGACGCTATCTTGAGAAACAGGGTACTGGCTTTTTGATTCTCATTAAGGCTCACAAAGTTTCAAGTTTTCGCATCTGTTACACTGTTATCCCACCTACCTAGGTCCCTAACCATCCGTGTGCATCTGTTCTGCTAAGTACGATTGAAATTGCTCCCGTGCTTGTCTAAGACGCAAGCTGAAGTGCAATGAAAACTGATCTGAGCTGCTCCTAGCCTGCTCCAGAACGTAGTTTTAGCTGCTCCCAACCTGCTCCATAACAGCTGTTTCAGCTGCTCCCGTGGCTGCTCCCAGGTACATTTCATGAGTTCCACCTCTGTACTAGCGCATACGGCAAGGTGCAGAGTAGGCAACGTGGTAAATGTTTGTCAGCTTTTGTGAGTGTGGTTCTCTTGAATATTTTCTGCCTCAAGAACAGATCGACCAGGAATTGATGCCAAAATGCCGCAGTTCACTGCACAAATGACAAATGATGGGGTACATTCGGGATAATCCGATATTCATTTTATCTTTCCATTGATGCAACGAGGTAGTTAGATTGACAAGTTCTTTAAAGCACTCATCGCCATTATAGCAACCCTGTTTTCGACTCTCATGTAGTTTGTGCCAAAACAAAATTACTTTTCAAGTAGCATTATTTTAATTTTCATCTGTCTACATAAAACTGAACGCCCTGCGTGTCCTAACATCAGAAACCAGCATTTTTAAAGTTTAAAAAAAAATGTGAATATGGGATACACATTTTTATGCAAAGCTTAAGTGACTTAAACAGAAAGACTTGCATATTTACAGTATTGTTATCTCTTCTGGTGAAGGCTCAGCAGCCATTGCATTCATTTTCGCACACGAAACAATGACTCGCAGACCTTTACTTTCCTTTATTTCAACAATACACAATTGCAGGCTTGCGCTGATGAGGCCACAAAACTGACTTGTATCGTGACTGGACAAAGGCTGTTTGTTCCTTGAGCTCCTGTCATGCTGCGCCATCTTACAGCGTTTGTCAGAAATAAGAGTGAACCTTTGGCCCACTTGCTCCTTGGCAAGGTGGCACCGTTCAGTTTCTTCCTCAGTGCTCCAAGGATTACTGTTTGCTAAATTGCCAATGCACCAAGACCAAGGAGCATGCTACAAGTGTAGTTCCACATATTGCAACTCTGAAGTCAAATAACTATAATAATCTTTATTGGCTTAGGAGAAAGATACTTTGAACCTTTTATACTGACAGATGAGTGCATGTAGCTGCGTGCCCAAAAAGCCTATTCTGTTTTCGTACTCGTGACAGACTGCTGGGTCCCGAGTCATGGGCGACCCCCGACCCTACAAAGAGTCAATGGACGGTGCATCCGACGCCTCTGAATCGGAGCGAGAAACCAGCAGCAATGGGGAGGTTAAGGTGCGGCTGAACATTGCGGCTGGGGCAACAGAACCCCTCAAGGTGTACCTGCGGCTGAGGCCACGAGCTCTGGGCCGCGCTTTTGCCTCCCCGTGCTTTGAAGCCATTGATGCCACTACCTTGGTCTCCACAGTAACCGTGCAGGACAACCAGCAGCAGAGAAAGTTCACCTTCACCAAGGTAAGTCTTTTTTTCTTTCTTTTTTTATTGCTATTCGGCTTTTTGAGTGAGTGTAGTTCTAGGAGGGGTGTAAAGGCAAAATGCCATATTTGCCCGAGTAGTAGTCGCACTTCTTGTGAGCAAGGCCCTTTCGTCGACTTTCTTGCGGAGCACACATACAGCCAATCATCAGGTTCTGCACGGCAAAATGTGGCGAATAGCAAGCTTGAAAACATAATTCTCCATAAAAATGTGATCTGAGCAGTTAGCATTTTTGCATGAAGACATTATCTCTGTCCCGTAAATCGTCATTTTTTTTGCCGATTGTGGCGATTCGCTGTCGTCATGCTCCGCAGGAAAGCAGACCCACAAACCTTGTTCACAAGAAGTGCGGCTATTACTTGAGCAAATACGGTAAGTGCTTGTTATCCCGGCCAGTGTGGGTGACAACACCAGAACATGTGGCTTGTGGTACGTCGCTTTCTGAATACTCTGCAGAGCTTGATGGACTCCGACAAGATGTGTGCTTGTTGAGATGCTCTCCAGCTTGTTTTCCGCAAGAATTTCAGTGTCTTTATTCTCGAGTAGACGTCCATGTTTTATGGTCCCAAACGATAAAAACGTTTTCATGTAGGCAGTTCGTTCAAGACAGTTGACTCTAACTCAACGCAATGCCTGTGCACAGTTGAGTCGTCTGCCTCAACCGCGAGCAGCGTACAGATCAGATGTGAGTGCCAAGTCAGTGTCAGCTGGGACTTCTGTTTAGTCAGTACTTTACTGGTGTCAACCGAACCCAAATGCCAAACTGGAAACAAGCACATAATTTATGTGTTGTTTCCGCAGCCGAAGTGAACTGCTGAGGCGTGATTGCTGGATTTTCTCTGCAGCGGTTGGGTAGTGGGTATGCTGACCAGCATTTGCCAGTAGGGGGATTCGGGGGCGGCACGAGTCTTCTCCTTGGTGCACATCAAGTTTTGTGAATCGTCTGGTAGATGTCGCCGAAAGCACCACATGCCCTCTGCCCATGCCACACTTTGTGTGCTGTCGCTCGTATTGACCGGCACAGGTCTGGAACTTGCATTAGGAAGTGTAGTGTGAAAAGGGTCACTAAGCCACTTTCTGTGATAGTTTATTTGTGGTCATAACTCAATCTATGGGCTCCGAGCATTCTAAAAGGGGCACTGACACCCCAAAGGTCGTATTTATTTTTATTGTCTAAAACGATGCAAGTTGTAGTCATAGACACGCAAAAAAAAACCGCATCGCGAAAAAAAAATTTTCCCGCGCGCGCGCGCGCCTTTTTATTTTTGGCGTTTGATTTTCCCGTTTCTCTCCTCCTCGCTTCTTTTGATCGGTGACGTCAAAAATCAGGAAATTTAGAAGCTTTGTAGGCGACATCTCTATAACATTTAATTACGGCAATCTTAAAACATGTTTTTTAACGCAATTGCGAACGCACTACGGCCCTTCTTTTTGAAATACCAAAAATCGGGAGTTCGTTGTGGTGCCGTCTCCTGGATTTGTATCCTCCAACGGAAAACAGGCGACACCGCTCAAAACCGGTCCGCCGCAACGCCGGCGCTAGCCGGCGCTCGCTCCTATCCTCCTCGCTTTGGGTCGCCATGGCAACAGCAGGGAGTGGTGACAGGAAAGTGGACTCTCAGGTCTCCTCAATTTTTGACGTCAAGGCACCGGCGCCGACCGCGCGGGAACTTCGAATTCGGCACTTGGAAATTGTTTTTTTACTTCACGAATACTGAATTCCCAAATCTCAAATTTTGAGGGTAATGTCCCGGCATCGTTTTCAATCGTTTCGGATAATAAAAAAAAAAATATGATTTTGATGTGTCAGTGCCCCTTAAAGGAGCGAAACACTACATTTATCTGTGGCCGATTTCTCTATTAAAATTGGCATCAAGGATTGATTACCTCGTAACTATCGGCGTCATCGTACAGGAGAAAAAAAAGAAGCCCTTCGCCTCATCCAGTGGCAGACATCTGGTCTCTGTTATAGTCAGGGATAATCAATCTTTCATACTGATTTTAATAAAAAAATCTGACACGCATGAATCTAATGTATGGCATTTTAGGCTGTCGCAGAAAGTAGTTTAATGCCTTTATAACGCTCTCAAATTTTGTGTGCATATCTCGTTTGACCTTATCTCATTCACAATTAATAAATGCTTTCGTGTTTCAAGAGATTCGTATCTGCCATGCCTGCGCTTCCTCTATTGTTCACAGTGCTACAGACCGTCCAGCAGATCTGTTTGTCTTGGGCAAATGAAGCAAACTACTTTTATGCCATTTATTTGTATTGTAAATGAATTTACTTTTAGTTCATAAAAATGTCTACCGCAATATATTTTTCTAGTGCTTCCTGGTTTTTTTTTTTTTTATTTTTCTTGCTTTTTTATGAAATTTTAACGCAGTTTACTTACTTTTCTACCCTTGTCATCTTCTATATTCAGTTTTACCATACATCCAAACGTGGTCAAGACTGGACCACATAAAAGTCAACAAACATAATACAAACTTGCCAAGTCGCCCGTATTGCCCGGAAAACTTCGGAATTTTTACCAATTTGTATGATTGTACGATTGACAAAAAAATCTCTTGGAATACACAAATTACCCCCTCCCCGCACTTAGAAGAGCTGTGCCCGGCCTTTGAAAGAATTTTCACCTTGTACTTTTGACATTGTTTATCTTGTCGCAAAGGACAGAATACACATCTCCTTCCTCATAATGTTTCGATTCCGCCACGTAATCGCCAGGCAAAATTAAGAATATTTCCCGATCTGCAGCCGCGAGCTGCAACCATCAGAACCACGTGGCCAGACGTCAAAGGGGGACTTGTAAAAAAAGAAATAGCAAGTTGTGCTACTACCTGCTCAATAAAAGGTAATTTCCTATAAATCTTGTCGTTCGCACATAAGTATACATGCGTCAAAAACCTGTTATCATAGACAAAATTTTTATTATACGGAGCTTTAGTGGCACCATCTATCTGAGGTCAACAAAACCCTCCATCCGCTACCGCGAGGAGCCGCCAGCAGCCGGACGGCCGCAGTGCCGAATGGCGCACGCATAAGGTCACGTGGTCGCGAGCGGTTTCACTTCTCACTGATCGCGCTTAAGAGAGAGCTTCACCGGAACCCGATGCGTCCCCGTTTCATGTCGCAGCACACGTGACTCGGAAGACAGTGAAAGAGGCGAGAGGCGCCAAAAATCTCAATCTTTGTCTTTTTTTTTTTCTTTTCTTTAATACAATTAGCACATGCAGGCAAAGGCGGTTTTTCATCCTTTACTTCAGAAGGGTCGAGATACCAACTCCCAAATTATTTAAGCAAAGCACTGAAATTGTTGCACAGCTCCTCTAAAAGCTGAGGTACGACCTCGGTTTTCTGCAAGGAAGATAATCGTCTTAGTGCTCCAATCTCCTAAGCTGGGAAGGGAGCCAAGCAGGGTAAAAAGGGGAGAGGATATAGAGTAAGGGGGCGGTCAAAAGTGGACAGCGCGAAGTGTACGTCGGCAAGAAGGTTTCCTTGCCTTGTTTGGGAGACCTTCGAGGGTTTCCCGAATTTCTTCGACAGTCTCTGCCCCTTGGTGAAGTGCTATTTTTTTCCAGTTTAAGTATTACTTTACAACATTCGAGCCATCTAGAGATTCATCACAATGTGCCAGTTTCTCCCTAGTGTGCGCATTATTGTTTATAAGGTCTGTAGGCTTTTTGCACCACTTTATTGGATACATGCCAAAACTGGGATGGGTTCCTTGGCTACCGATCGAGATATGAGTTGCCCCGAGTGTTTCAGGATCCCTGCAATAAAGGTCTGAGTAAATATGGCCCCCACCCACCTTACCTCGGCAACAGGTGTTCCCCGAGCTGTCCCAGCAAGAGGACATCTTCGAGGAGGTGGTGGGCGGACCCCTGGCAAGCTTCATGGCGGGCCACCACGTGCTGCTGTTCGCCTACGGGCCAACGGGCAGCGGCAAGACATACACAATGCAGGGCACCCCCGAGCAGCCAGGGCTCATCCCCCGCACCCTGGACAGGCTCTTCCGGCTGGTCGGCCCACAGCTGACGTCCCGGGCACCCTTCGCTCCCCTTTACTTCGGCGAGGTGAGTGCCCGCCCGCGGCAGGGACCGACCTGGCTGAATCCGCTGAGCACGGTATTGTTGGAAGACAAGGAGCATGCGCTGAAGGCGGAGCTTCTACCGAATTCTTAGCCTGTCTCTGACTGTGGCGGCTTGAACGGAAAGCTGTGGTGGTTTGTTTACTCGCCAGCTTTGTTGAGCTGGCGAGTCCGTGGGATTAGGTTAAAAAACTCGCTATGAAAAACTCCAGTGACGCGATTACCGCGTCATTTGCACCAAAGTGCTTATGCCCTACGAATGTGAGAAATTTTGACCAACATTGTGCCAAAACTAAATTTTACTTAACGCTGAAAATATAATGGTGCAGGCCCCAAATGCTGACTCCGCTCTAAAGTTTCGCAGTGTCCCTCTTGTTCATTTTTTGTTCTAGTGGGACGGTTAGCTTTGTTCAGTGAGCTTCTCACTGTGCACTTATGTACTGCAGTGAAATGGCAATTGCACGAGTAGGCATTGTAATTTTGTGTATCCTATTCGTTGCAGTGTGCTAAGGGTGACACACTTTTTCAGAATGTCACACACAATTTCTGATTACATAAGTTCAATATTTTTGATCGCCAGCCATTGGAGTAAATGAGCTGGAGCAGGGGGTGAAATCTTGGGAATAATGAGTTCGGTAGGATTGTTTTCAAAAAGGCATCTTTACTGTTCACGTGCCGATTTGTCTAATACAATGTTGCATACAAAACATTATTGATTTTCAATTACATTACCACTAGTCTTTTTTTATCTGGATTAAGAGTTGAATTTTATTACACCCTCCAGGAACTGGAACAAACTATGAATTTGGGCGCTTCAGGTCATCCTATTTTACTATTATTTCAGTGGTATGGTATGGTATGTACAATGTGGTTCACCTTTGATTTCGTACAGAGAATGACCATTCGCAGGCAGGGGGTACACATACTACACAGTGCCCTTCATACGTAGGCATGTTGTTGCCGGGTCTGGTGCTTCTACATGTTATGTCCGAGCAGCCGTCGCCGGCTGTCGGAGTTTTAATGAAAGCAAAAACCCATAAGGGCTAAACGATTAGTTCGGTAGGCAGTTCAAACAAGCACACGTGCGAGCGCGCATCCTGGTATGCGCTCCGGATCAAGGCCACACCCAAAGTCATCGCGATGATGATAGTGCCACACCCATGGTCGGTGGCAATGATGATGATAGTCCAGCAGCGCCGACACATCACTACATATGACTGAACAGCTAGTTCTGTGTTTGTGGGGATGAAACCTGTCATGCAATACATGGTAAGAAAAGGTTGCACAGAATTGGGAAAACAAGGTAGGCTTCATCTTTCAGTTGGACATGCTGACACATGAATAATAACACAATGTTCACACTGGTAAGAAAAAAAAATGGAGTCTGTACTGATGCTTGAAATTTTTGGTGCTCTTAAATGGACTTCAGAAGGTTACTCTAAAATGACTAACCAATCGCATTGTTTCACCGTAACTTGGCAGAAGTGGAACGCTACGGCCCTTCGAGCCAATCGAACCAACGGAGGCATGTACAACCCTTACAAAAGGTACAAGGGCGAGAGCATAACCCAGCAGTTGGAAGGGAGACCTCTCCCCTCACGTGGACCCTCTTTTGTGTGTTGCAGACATTTTTTTTTCTTCCCCTATAAAGTTAGCTAGTCACTCATAATTTAAACAAAAACAGCTTTCCTCTTTCTTCCACGGCCGTGGCTTTGACCGCACCGTGCACGGCTACTAATAAGGTGGAGTGCAGTCATGTCTCCCTCCAATGTGCCGATTGGCTCACACCTTTGCCGTCTGCCAAGTCACTGTGAGACAAACATAGTCGGCGTGGCTGGTGGCTAAAATGGGCGGTTCACACTAAGGTTCACACAATAGGGGCTCCTCTCACGAGACTCCTTGTATGTTTATAAAATGTAGAAAGGTTTGTCAGCCTTTTTGTTCAAGTGCATACTCAGCAGCATATACCTGCAAGGGTTGGCCATGCTGCAGCTTGCAAATCACTTCTGCTTGTCATGGCACAATCTGCACCTCCAGTGTTGTGGCTCTTTCAAGAAAACATTGCACTGTATGCTCCAAAAGCCGTAATGTGCACACGTAAAAATGAACCTAGTCTTGACGCAAGAGTGCAGAATCATTGGCATCATTTTGTGGAGCCAGGTGCATTGACTTTGCTGTGTAGAGCTCGCCGTAGGTCTCTTGGCTACATTTGCGCAATGCCCTTCTTTCCAACAGCTTGTCCTTGTAGGCACCAGACAAATGACTGGTTGCAGCTAGTTTTCCTGATGGCTATAAGCATTTGATTGAGTTTTAGAATACATGGCTGCACTCAGACAGAGACAGCTGGATACCACTGTGCGTGCAGTAGTGTCAGGGTGTCTAGCGACTGGAAAAACCAGGAATTCTTGGAAATTTTAATTACTGGGAAAGATCGGGGAATTGTCAGGAATATTGTCAAAAAGAGCCCAGTCGGGGAAAATGAGCAAGAAACACCATTGAGTGCCCTCAGCAAAGGCTTAAGGACTTGGGTGCAGATAAATGGGCGGTCGATTCTGCTTAGAGTGGAGCGCAGGCTCTGCTCACCCAGTGTAGTGTGTGCTACTCGATGCAAAGGAAACGGCCAACAAATCCAGTTCAAGCCTTGGACTGGATTGAGGGCGCGACGCTATACTCCGTTTCACCTTCAGTCCGAGCGCAGCGGACGCTAGGAGCCATCGCAGCCAATGCGGCGTTGAGGGAGTGTCATGCGACCTTGAGCTCCCTGTGTCGCCCCGCCCCACCGGCAGGTCACGCGACTTTCTCCCACCGCTAGATCGGCTGGGTTGGCTCGTGGCGTCCACTGCGCTCGGACTGAAGGTGAAACGGAGTATAGACTAGATCCAGTTAGAGCTACTAGATTTAGTAGCAAATGAAAAAGCTGCAGACCCCAATTTAATTCAAGCCCTAAGCCGAAAGTATCTGAACTTCTGAAGGTGTGCATCTGGTGGCCATGCTGCCTTTCGGTTATTGACGTGTGTGGTTGAGCGTCGTGTTTTCACTGTGTTTCCGGAAGTGGCCTCTCACTGACGATGTCGGCAACAAGAAAGTGCTTGTTAAAGCCGGACTGGACGAACCCGAATATTTCGGAACATGCAAGTTTGATTAAGCCCGTGCAATCATATCCTTATAGTCCTCAATGCCTTGTGTTGTAATGGTCTTATATATTTAACTGCCTCCACAGTGGTCAAGGAATTTCACCTGAAATCGTCGGGGAAAACCTGGAAAAGTCTGGGAATTTCAAAATGATAATTGGCTAGACACCCTAAGTGTCCAGTTCTTTGTCCTTGTCTTCAGGCTCTACCATGTCTTCAAAGATTCAGCATCAACTCGCCCAACGATCAACACTATTAATTGTTATTTGCTAAAGCATTCATTGTCTCATGGAGCGAGCCGACATAATCAGATTTGAAACATTGCAAAACGGCACCTTAATGAAACCACACGCAAAGCTAGCCACGGCACCTTTACACTTCGGTCCCATTGGCTGGCGTGCGTCGACGAGGCTCCCATTGGCCGCTGCACGTCAGTTTGTGTGGTGTCATCCTGACTGTGTTATCACACTGTTGTATTATCACTGGTCCGCTTTCGCTCGCCTCTTATCAGCGCATGGAATAAACTAAGGGGTTCGTTCTGCTGGGAACTACGTTGCTGTCTGTTCCTTCCTCGCACCGCAAGGCACACGACACTTTGAACAATCGCTCACCCGATGGCGCTGCGTGTCCGCGAGGCAGCGGCTCCATTTCGCGCCCAAGGTCAGCGCATTGCGCGCTGCGGATTAAAGAAGGAAATGAAGAGTGGCGTGCATGCTTTCGCGTTCACAACTCAAAAGAAGTAGTTAGGTGTACATAGAGCCTTTTTTTATTCTTTATGCATACGTAGGTATGGTTAGAGAAACCAAAGTCCCACTTACAACAACAATAAACATTCTATTTAGCGTAACGGTGCCAATGTGTAATTTGTAGGATCCTCCCTCACCTGGATTCATTCTATGGTCAGCATTTTTCGTTGGCAGCTTTTGGCCAATTCCAGTTTGGCCACCCCTGGCACATACCAACCAAGGAGGGCTATTCTTCTGCTTCCCCAGGTTCAGCCCTTGGAGCACAGGAACGAGAAGTACATCCTCCAGAAGCGAGACAACCTGCTGCTCCAGCAACGAGCCAAAGGTGCAGCAGAGTACAGCACATTCCTCTTCACCAGCTCGAGCACCACCAGCAGCTGCGACGCATCGGCCTTCAAGCCCGGTTCCATGGACGTCTCTGTGTGGGTCTCGTGTTACGAAATCTACAACGAGAACGTCTACGACCTCCTGGTTCCGTTGGGGCACGGCCAGCGACGCACGCTGAAGCTGGGCGAAGACCACGACCACCGTGCTTACGTCAAGAACCTCACCGAGGTTCCAGTGCAGACCGCAGAGGACGCTTACGCACTCCTCTGCGTGGCTCGGCTTAACCTGAGCATTGCGGAGACTCGGCTGAACCAGAGTTCCAGCAGGAGCCACTGCATGTTTAACATTCGGTTGGTGCGGTGCGACGACGCGTCCGATGAGCCGGCAGTTAGCTGCCTGACGTTGTGCGACCTGGCGGGCTCGGAGAATCCGGGCAAAACTGGCAACGTGGGAAGCCGTCTCAGAGAGGCCGGTCGCATCAACAATTCTTTGCTCGTGCTCGGGCGCTGCTTAGAGGCTCTGCGGCTGGGCAAGGGAGCAGAACAGCGGGCCCCCTTTCGCGACAGCAAGCTCACGCAGGTGGGACACTGGTTTGCTCTTCCTCTCTCGGGATCTCGTGGTGCTGGCATATTTTCCTGGGTTTCGTGCCGCATTTTGCATTGACGAATGGCAACAGTGTAAGCTGGTTGTTATCTCGAGCCTACTGGTGCAAATTTCTAACCGGGCCGATAGCTACCAGGCTGGCATTGAGTTAGGTGGGTATGATGTGGCTTTTGAGGCCCCTAATCATAGAGTTGCAAGAAGTTTCTGCAAACAATGATGCTTCAATAGATGCTAGCATCTATTTTGGAAGCGGTCGCATTGGGGGGGGGGGGGGGTACTGCTGTTTTAGGAGGCCTGGTCAGTGCATCGAGTTTATCTTCTGGTAGAGAATGTGGTTGACACCCTGAACGCGTGGATTATTTCTTGTTCTGAAATGTTATGTGTAGTATGCCAAAAAGACTGTTCCCAAAAGGTTTTGTGTTCCCACCTTTGGTGCAAACATTTATTGCAGGAGATGCTGGGGAGTTCTAATTTTTTCATTAGAAGGCATTCATATTGCTTCTGGATCACTGCCGTTCTTGGTGGCTAGCATCTATTGCTAAAAATTATCTTGTCACCTCATGTACATTAACTAATCAGGGGGCCCCCAAATCTGCCTTGTCAAGCATAAATATTAAACAAATATTCGTTACTCATTCCTCTTTTGGACGTTTGCAGACAGTCTAATGTCAGCACATGCTCAATGACTCCCACCGTGCTTCGGTTGTGCACACAAAAAAGTGTTATCAAAGGCAGAAAGCTTGCGCGGCAGGTGGAGCATATAGTGCATTCTTAATTTGTCACCAACTATAGGAATTGAGGACAATTAAAAAAAAACAATTCGGCATGTTGTTACAAAAATGCTTCATTGCTATCATTGCAATAGAATAGGGTCTTCAAAAAAAAAAACCATTGACATTTGTTCTGTTTTAGCCATACTGAAAGTGTTCAGTGGTCCTTCAAAGGTTTTTGGATTCTTTGAAGTCACATTTCACACATACCTTTCCAGAAAATCCCACAAAACATTGCGTCAACCCCCGAGAGCACCGCGTAGTGCAAGGAATTGTGGGGCCGTTCAGATTGCTTGGTCCACCTCATACTCTTTATGCATCCCAGATGGAGTGCAATTTCTTCTTTTTTTTTCCACAGAGTTCAGAGCACAAGGAAAGCAAAGCCAACGCATCACAAAGTCGATACACTGCCTGCTTTGTTATCGTCCTGCTTTCGTTGCATTCTAAAATCGCTCCTCTATGTGTCGTACATCGGATAGCCGTAGCATGTCTAATGGAGAGCTCAGATGGGGAGAAATCCTGGAGATTTCTCCCCGGCGCGACCTTCGCGCGACAGAAATGTCTGTCTTTTGCTATGCGATGCTACACAGGCTACACGGCAGAGGGATGGAGGGATACTTGAGGGCACATACAATCTTGGTTTTGCAACAGATTGGTTTCTTTTCAAAAATATTCTTTGTTGTTGAACTACGTAGAGCTCGCTAAATTTGCCTGTGCTGATGTCTAGTGTACAAACCGCTGAATTCGACTGCAAATGCTGACATCCTTCTCCCCCCGGCATTTCGTTGGAGTGAACGACTAAACTGAGGAAGAAATTGCGCCTACTGTCGACGTCGTGCACATCTCTGCACGGATTTCTCCCTCGTGTGAATACCCATGGAAGGCAAGGCGAGGCATATTTCCGGAATAGTCTACTGAACAAAATTTCTCCAAAATTCAGTTGGAAATAGGTCAATGCATAGCTTTACATTGCTGCACAGAAGCCAAACTCTCCTTTGTTCAAATTTCAGGTGATGCAGGCTTTCTTCGTCGGAGGCGGCATAGTCTCGCTGATCGTCAACGTCAGTCCGTCCCCCGCCGTGCTCGAGGAGTCGCTCGGGGCACTCAAGTTCTCCGCAGTGGCCACAGAGGTGGTCCCGGTGGCCGCAGAGCCCCGCCACACCAAGTGCCGGGCGGCCGTGCAACGCCTGTCGAAGGTGCGGCAGCGCACCGACCGCTGGTCGACAGACTGCGATGCCTCCGAGCGGTCCTTCGACGAGGACAACGTGGCCGAACTCTTCGAGACCGTGGAGACCCTGCAGCGAGAGCTGGACAGGGCGCAGCAGACTATTGCGCACCTGCGCCAGCGCGTCCAGGCGCAGGAACAGTCCATTGATAGGCTGGAGGATTCTCGGCGGAGGATGGTGAAGGTCTACGAGGAGGTGGTCAGGGTCAAGGTCGACTGTGCCAAGGTGAGCGAAGGGACTCTGGAGCATAGGTCGGCATTTTAGAGCCCCTTCATTCACCATCACATCACGAACAAAATCACGTCTCCAAATTCATTCGCATTCACGTTACAAGGTACTCCGACCTCCCAAAGTCACAGCCCATCCCATCCCGGCGTTCAACCGTGCCCAAACTTTATCCCCTTCACATCACGGCTTTCAAACTCCGCCGAGAATTCATCCCCTTCACATCATGGGGTTCAACCGCAACAAGAATTCATCCCAATCACATCACCGCCGCCTCCGAATTTACGGAGTCATTCACCATCACATCACCAATTCACGAAGTCATTCACCATCACCACGAATTCATTGGAATTCACAATCATGAATTTATTGGAATTCACCATCACATCATGAATTCATCCAAATTCACCATCACTTCACAAAGTTATTCACCATCACAGTCAACACGAATTCACCGGAATTTGCCATCACATCATGAATTCCGCATAATTCACGAACTCATTCAGGTTCATTCTCATTAAATTCAACTTCACGGCTGGTAGCCCTTCACGAGTTCGCAGTTCTTGCGGAATAGGACTGTGGCGACTTTTTATGTCAGCCACTTGAAACCAGGACCTTACCACTTGAAACCAGGACCTTACTCCGTCGGGGAAGTGGGGTATTTCGAGTGCGCGAAACTCAAAGCAACCCAGCCAATGCCACGCTGCAATCGTGTCACGTGAATGTGTTCCATGCGCCGTCACGCGGAAACCGCAGGTCACGTAATATGGTCTCGGCGCCGGATTAGGTGCACCTGCCCGTGACGTCGGCTTCGTCTTCGTCTCTTCATTGCCACTGCCACCGCACTTTGAAAGTGCTCGACAAAGAGCCACTGCGCTGAGGCGCACACGGTTACGCAGCGAGACTGATGCCCAAACCGCTAAAGTCAAATCGGTTCCTGTCGTTTGCGGTGAAGGATGAAAACAACCAGCAAGCAAACTAGCACCTACGTAACATGTTTTCCACCTACTCTGAATTAATAACCGTAACCACTATCACGTCGAGAGTTAAGTTCACGGTATTACTTCCCATCACAAACTTATCAACTTCACGAGCCACTCCCATCACAAATCCATCATGCTCACGAGCCATTCACCATTACGTCACTAATTCATTGAGTGATTCACATCACAATGAATTCTATTCAGTTCATGAAGTCATTCACAATCACAACACATCATGAGTTCATTCAAATTCACGAAGTCATTCACAATCACATTACGACTTCATTCACCATCACATCACAAATTCATTCAAGTTCACGAAGTCATTCACCATCACATCACGACTTCACGACTTCATTCACCATCACATCACGAATTCATTGAATTCACGAAGTTATTCACCATCACATCACGAATTTATTTAAATTCACAAAGGCATTCACCATCAGATCATGATTTTTTTTAATCTCAAGAATTCATTCAGAGCCATTCAGATTCACGCCGGGAATGTGAATGAAGGTGAATGAGCGAGTTCATGAATGAATTCGCCGAGGTATGCTCTGGAGAGTAGTTTTAATCTTTACGGCAAATCAGTCCTACAAGTTTCAACCTGAATCTTGAGTTTGGTACATGGCTTGCGTGTGATAGAGCACCATGTTGCTGGTTATCCTACTTATACAGAATGTGTGCGCTTAGCAGCAAGGCCGACGCATGTATAGAGCCGATCTATATTATTATAGATTGCGATGAACATTATTATTATATTGCCGAAATTCTTGGAAGTATTGTTACAAATGAACAGGCGGGGAAACAAAGAATAACAGGGAAGACAGAAACGTTTAATGGCGAACTTGTGCCCAAAAATGAAAAGGAAACGGAAGATAAAAGCAGAGCGTCGGCGGGCGTCAAAGTCGGCGTAGCAGCAGAGTCAAACGCTGGGGCAAGACTGACTCCGCTCGCCATGAGGAGTCCCTTATGTACCCTCGTGGGTTTCGGGAACATTCGGCGTTGAACTTCCGGAACTCTATCAGACGAGAATGTTCTCGAACTTGCGAGAACCTAGACCTTCCGCGCGACAGTCAAGCACAGTAATCACTTGGGCACGCATGTGCTCGCTCGCTTGGTGACGCGCCTGGCATTATGACTACACGTTTTGGTGGTCTTTTCTATGACAGCTTTTAGGACATCAGATAGAGTACAAAATCAAACTTGTTGTTAAAAATTCCTATTGTTTAGAAGTTCTACTCTGACGAATTTCCCAAGATATGAAGGGTATGCATACATACCAGGTTGTACCATTTGTTTGGCATTCTCTCAAATGTCTCGATATGCTCAGTATGCTTGTCTAATGATTTTTAATGATTATGCATATCTTGCATGCTGCATTCTATTTGTGTGCGTGCATTTGCACATACATCGAATGTAGCACACGATCGGTGTAACTTCGACTGAGGCAAGTGACTTGGCATCCACGCTGTGCTTGCTGTTCAGCACAGTAAAATTAGGAATGGCGAGTGCTTATATTAGACTGGGACAGTGGATATAATGGCATAACACTAACGCAGCAACATTTTTTTTTGTCCTGATCAGGCACACAAACCAAAATTTCCATAGCGTGAGCACTGTTTCCAATGCCTCAAAAGCTAGCTGAATTGCTCCATGCTTAAGTGCTTGTCACTCAGAATTTCCCCTACCTGACAACTTTCCGTTGTGCAGAGATGCAGAATAAACAAGCAAATGCAAGTATGTAAAATGGGAAAGTGCACGAATTGGGCCTATGGGATCTCTCCAAAGAAAAATTCTGCTTTTGAAGAGGAGTTCACCTCCTGTACTAGTACTTTGACAGTCCTCGAAGATGGGGAATTTATCTGTGCAGGAGGTCCAGGTTTTGTCTTTCTCCAAGAGCTGTATCTCCATACATGTGTGTTCTAGAACTTCGCTCGCATTTGCCTGATCTGTTTTTTTTTCTTCTTTATTTAGGTGTACATGCGGATTGAACTGGACCGCAAGTACAAAGCACAACGGAAAGAGCTGGTGAAGGCACGCAAGGAGATCGCCCGGTTGAGGGGAGAAACCGGGCCACCTAGGCTCTCGGACGTCATCGTGCTTGGTGACAGCGAGGACGACAGCGATGAAAGCGACGGGGAGTCTGTTGACGAGTCCACAAGCTCGCTGAACACTACCAGCCACGACTATCCGCGGCAGAATGCTCCTTCGTGCAGCGAGACAGCAGCCCCCGCTGAAGTCCGGAGGTCTCTGCGGAGCACGCTTCAGGCGGAGGTTGATCATCTCCGTGCGCAGCTGGACGCTCTGTCGGCAGAGAAGACATTGCTTCTGGGTGCTGTTTCTGCAGAACGGGATGCCGCCTTGGACAGTGCAGCGCAACTCGACTCTCTGATGCAAGAGCTTGCCGATGCCAGAGCAGAACGGAACCAGGCAGAGCGCGACGCAGACAGAGCGCTGGAGCAACTCCGGGAACTCCGCGAAGAGCATAGAGAAGCTGTCGTCAGTGTAAGCTTCTCCACTACGATTGAAGCGTGCTAATTTACGAAGAAAATAGCGCCATATCTACTGCATCTATGTTATACATTATCTGATCTCTACCTTTGTAAGGACTATCACCAAGGATAGTCTAGTATTATCCAAGCATTGAACATCCCGGGAGATAATTGAGTAATCTTGCGGGATTATGTGGCAATACTATTCCGTGCCTTAGTTGACCTACATGTTTAGGAGACTCTCAACAGTTCAGTGCATTGGTAGTTCAGTCACTGGGTCAATGGTTATGGTAAAACAAACTAAAGCTTCAGATGTGTCTTATCGCTCTTTATGAGCTTGTAACGCTTGGGAAAGGGTAGTGGCACATTATATTTGCAATATGATATATGGTTTCTTTCCTCCAATAATCCCAGAAAACACTGGATATTCAATTATGGTAGACAATCTGGTCAATTTTCTCGTGCTGATGAAGCTGGCGTTGCTCGTTCAGGTGGAACTTCTGAGGAACCAGCTCGCAGCAGTCTCCCAAGCTCAGGAGACAAAAGCCAAAGAGCTCGCAAGCTTGACCTCCCAGTACCAGCAGCAGCTGGACGTCAACGCGGGCCTGAAGAACAGGCTCGCAGACATGGCAGACATCGTCCAGAACACAGATGCCCTTCGCCATCAAGTAGAGATGTTGCAACTGCAGCTTCATGAAGCGACCGAGAGGCAAGAGCTTGCAGAGTCTGGAAGGCTAGAGGCTGAGAGCAAACTCTCTTCCTCTAAACTGGAGCATAGGCGTGAGCTCGACCTCCTGGGGCAACAGCACGAGGCCGCGCAGCGTACCACCTTGTCCCAGTTTCAGTCAAAGGTGGATGACCTAAAGGCAAAGTGCGCAAAGTTCCAGCAAAAGTGGGCAGAAGCAGAAGCGTCGCGAGAGAAGGCCTGCTCGGATGCGGCGCAGAACAAGGAAGCGCTTTTGCAACAACTCGAAGAGGTGCAGGCAACCTTGACTTTGAAAGAGAGTGAGCTGGAGTGCTGCAAGGAGCTGCTCAAGAACAGCGAGGCTGCGCAACTTGTGCTTCTTGAGCGCACCGGTTCGCAAAGGCCCAAGTTGGAGGACGTCACCGAAGAGGTTGACGAAAACGACGAAGGTAACACTTGGCGCAAGACTCCAGCGTCCAAACGGCAGCGGCCGAGGCGCCAGACTCAACAAGTCGGTGACGCTATTGCCTTCTGTGATGACGACGACTTTGCAGCTCCTCGCCGCGTGACTCGCTCCAGGGCGAAGAAGTCCAGCATTTCCGTGGCAGAGCAGGTGAGCACTGTTTACTTTGTCTAGCTTATCGTAGTCTTGCCGACTCCAGATATTGCATGGTCACTCGAGTGCACTCTTTACCTTCAGTTTAATTGAGAAATTTTGTTTCTGGAATTACATGGGGAAGCTATAAAGCCTTGCTGAACTTCCCGCAACCTGACAAGTAACTGATCAGGGATAGTTTGCTGATCTGTGGCAGTATTTGGTCTTGGGAATGGGAAGGGGTTTTTTTTAAACTTCGACAGGAACAAGAAGGCATAAAGTATTACCGTAGTTACACGATTGTAAGTCGACCTCTCCACATGGCACATCAGCAAAAAAAAAAAAAAACATTTAGATGCTTATTTTACTGCAAAAACTTAGAATGGCAAAATATCTGTTTTGAAAGCTCAGCCTCTAACACGCGACCGATGCCTTTTGGCATGCTTTGACTGCACATGTATGCGCGGGAGGCACTCACTCACTCACTCGATCGAATGTCGTTTTAGCGAACTCCAACACTTTAGCAAATAGTCCACCGCCGCAAAGCTGCGTTTACGGGTGGGTCAAGTGGGTTAACATTTTTGTAATGAGCCTCTGTAGATTGTTGCCGCGAGGCGGTGTAATGTAGGCTCAGCGCGGAGGGGTGGGTTAGCATGCACCTCCATTATTTGCTGAAACGTTGATTCGCTCAGATGTTGCTGTTAGCTAAAGTCATTCGCTTGTGTGATACGGACTGCACCTCGCATGAGATGCCCACGTGTTATCGAAACCGGTAAGTTCACGCTCGAGGCGGGACAACTACGCTGCTCCCCGTTGTTCTCACTTCGTCCGCGACTGGACTACGACTCGTCCACACTGGTGATGTCAGGCCCATTGTCATCACTGCTACGTTCTTGAAGCACATCGTCGCCGTCATCCAACGAAATCTCACACTTTGCAAATGACAGCATCAGCCGCATCTTCCGCGCTTGCATTGCACACTCTTGCGGCATGCGTTGCAAGCTTGACCTCAAGCTTATAACCGAGCTTTCATTTGCACGTCAAAAGGTTCCCGGGTGGCAAAAATTGGTCTTCAATCCTTTGCTAGGGCATGCCAGATGCCCCTTCTTGGTAATTGGCACCTAAAACCTTTTTACTTTGTGTTTTTATCATACTCAGTTTTTTATGTTATTGCACCATTTTCACAACTTTTGCTCTATTCCTCATTGCTTCTTCATTCATAGACCGTGGACACAGTAACGTTGCACACCGTTCCTTAAGGGGATACTGAGCCGAAATTTGGATTTCGCAAAGTAAGGCTGCAGACGTGTTGAACTGGACGCTACGAACTCCAAAACATCACTCGTACATCGATATCTCAAACGGATGGCCGTACTTTTGGAAAAGAAGGGCGCGATCAAGCGAGTCTTTTTACATAGCTGTCCTCCGGGAGAATTTGAGAATGAGGAGAAGCGGCCTCGCTTCTTTCCTCCTCGCTTCGGTTCACCAGCTCGACGGGACGTAGCGAGGAGGAGAGGGAATGGGAATCGTGACGTGCCTTGTCAAGTCGGCCGGGTTCAATCGCGCACTTCTTTCCCGATATATCCGTTAGATATAGCCGTATGAGTGATATCTTTTTATTTTGCAGCTTCCCGCCTGTCCGCCCGACCTTGTTTAGTGAGCTCGAAATTTAGGTTCAGTATCCCTTTAAAGGGGCCCTGCAATCATATTTAAGCGTCTACCTTTTTTGCGGTTTCCCCGTCTCTTAGGGGTCGGGCAAGCCAGCGGGCACGGAGAGAGTAACTAAATATCAATGCGCCATATTTTGACCGGACGACACGGAAACCTCCTCCACCGACGAGGGCGACCCGCGGTACCGAAAGCGCGCAAAATGTGACGTCTTTGGTCCTGGGCTTACTACTGGTCAGAGCCGCTAAAAGCTTCTTTTTAGTCGAAATACAAAATATAAGTGGCGCGAACCGTTTCAATTATTTATAAAAGTAGTTTTTGTTCAGTATTTTAGATCAAAAAAGAAACGAATGCACTTCATAAAGTACGGAAACAAGAAATGACCCGTCGACATACCCGCCACCAAGCGGTGGAAAAGGCGGCGCATACTAGAAAAGAGTAGTGGGATCAGGCGCCGACACGGAAAGGTCCCGGATGTACGCAGCGGCGCCGCGGTCGTATGGGCAGAAGGATCCGACCGGCTCCGAGCGTTCCGAAGGCCTTCGGCGAGACGCTTCGTCTTGCGGTTGGGCCGTTTCACGGTATGGCAGCGCAAAGTAGCTCCCATTCTGAACTGATCTTTACCCCGTGTTTGCTGTCGTTTGTGGCCAATGAAGTGTTATGCCGAATTAGTCTTTAATCGCGCAGCAAATGCAATGAGAGCCGCTCTGGGTGCCCGCTGCATACATCCTGTCGAGAACACGCTTTAAAGGGGTACTCCGGTTATTTTTTGAGCTACCTCAACTAACTATATTTTCTGACTCCCCGGCCTTTACCCTTTCCGGTATGCTATTTAGTATCGCGAAATTCATATTAGTTATTGTGAAATCGGCAAATGAAAATGATGCAAAAACCAACATTCAAATATTCCCGCACTTTTCAGTGCCGTGACGTCAGTGGTGGGCAGCCTTGCCAGTCGAGCAAGCAGTCTAAAAAATAGAATATGCCAATCATTAGTTCCGTGGTGGAGCGCGAGGACTGGAGCGAGCTTCCAAAGCATTCATTTGACACCATGAAACTGCTTCGAATCAGTTGGGAACAAATTCTACAGTCCAAAAAGCCCCTGCCTGCCTGCTTTTAACCCCTGCCTGCTTTTAAGTTGCCTATAACTTTTAAAATAAAGGGGATTTCGAGAAAAGAAACGTTTCACTAAGTTACTACATTCAGTGCGCTCAGGTTCGGTGCAAATTAAAAATTAGTAAAAAAGTCATTGCAGGGCCCCTTTCAGTATGCAGATGTCAATTATATTTCCAACTTTGTCCTTTTCCGAGAGCAAAATTGTACTTTGATTTTCGAGTCAGTCCAGTCATGTAAAACTGGCATTAGATACTTTCTTATTTATTGCGGAGCTGAATTCCCTTTTACCCACAACGTAAACTTCGGACGTTTAAGCTTCGCCTTCATAGGCTTGTTCACACACTTGCATTTGACTATGACCAGCTGAAACAAGACCGGTTTTTAAGCCTCTTCTGATGGTTTACGACTGGCTCCGCAGCACCGCATCCGGTTGTAAGCCGTTGCAAGAAGTTTAAAAGCAGTATTGTCTCATCAGGTTGTAGTCAGCTGCAAGTGGTTGGACGGGCCGTAAAAGCGGAACGCGATGGCGTTATCAGGCTCGTTAGCCTCCCCTTCTCATGCTCTTCCTGCCAAGGAGCAGGAAGTGTGGCGGATATGGGTCTAAGCTGGTAGCATGTGTCACGCTCGCAACTGACGGGTTGTGGGTTTGAATCCCGTCTAAAATTCTTCAAATTTTGCTTTAAGGTAAATGAATTACTTTTTAAAGTGAATTCATTTGAGATCTTTAATTTGCATTTCATATTATGTTTTTTAATCACTTTCATATCGCGCTTGATGTCACGTTTCACGCAAGGGTTGTGGTCGTAAGCACTGTGGTCTGCAGGAGGTCATGTGGCTGCACTGTCACGACCCTATGGACCAATCTGGGTTTACGCCACACACACCGGCTTTTCTGCGACGCAAGCTCCTTAACGCCGTTGCGTTAAAATATTTTCGGTGATCGGCTAACCTTGGCAGTTGGTCAAGATGACTGCACACTATCTGTATAACTCCAGCTTGCTGAAGTGCAAGACTGGAATCTAGCTCCTTCCAGATTAGCAGTTTGGCAGTAGTAGTTCACTTTGTTTGAAGTTGCTGTCTCTGCTGCCAGAAGTACGGGGAAGAATAATTTAAAATTGCTCTTCGAGGGTAGTAGGGGGGGGGGGGGAGAGAGAGAGAGAGAGAGAGAGAGGAGGAGGAGGAAGAAGAGGGGGGGGGTGGAGGGGTGGTTTGACTTTTAGATGAACTCAATCCAGGCGGCTATATGAAGCATCAACTCATTTGCCTACCTTTAGACACGCCGCCAAGAAGGTCAGGCAACTTCGTCTCGCTTTTTTGTGGACCGCCTCGACACTTCCTAGGACGGAAAACCAGTTTCTGCGATTTCGGACAACTGGCCACAGCGATCTTAAGCGTGCATCGAAATGGCTCGCGTTTTGCCACCCTGAAACGTAGCTCATTCTGGAACAAGTCTCCAACTCGCGTATTTACTGCATCCAAGGAAGCTGTTTGTCGATTTCCACCTCTCGACACCGTAGAAAGAGTCCATGGCTGTTGCCGGCCGCAATCTTGGCGATGGATGTGGCAGACGCCCGTTCCACCACAGGTCGCTCCCTAGCCGACAGTGCGTGGGAGCTTCGGCCAGGAGTTGGGACTCCGCGACGATACCCGCGTTCTGCAAGATTTTCACTGGGTCTTCTACCACCAGACATCGGACGGCACGACAATCTGGCTTTTACAACGTCGTCTATTGCCACTTCGGGACCGCTTTTGCCATATGGGAGAGATGGGACGCTAAACAAACCAGTCGGAAACTCTTGCTGCCGGTCGTACTCCCAGCCACTCATTCCGAATTCTACTGCCCAACCTTTTGCAGAACCGGAGCGTGCTGGCCGAAGCCAACTCCAGCTCGTCCCCACTGCAACGCGTGCTTGGCTACGTGACTGACGTCTTCTCCAGGGCGAGTGCCGTGGGTGCGGCCGACGCGAAGCTCCGCTCCAGACTGGTCGAGCCCGACCCAGACTTCGTGGACTTGACACTGTCGCACGAAGACAATTCTTCGACCACCACTCCCTGCCGCAAGAGCAGCCGGAGGGCAAGGAAGTAGGTGACGATGCTGTTCCAAGTTGCCACTTTTTATTTTTAAAACTTCCACTTCTCTGTGGATGACTTCACTTTTTGTGTTTTCTTTTCTTAGTGTTTTCTTAGTCATGTGTGTCAGGATGCCGGCAACTTGTGCCAGATAACCTCCTTTATTCTTTTTTTTTAATTAAAATTCCTTTTCTTTGCATGGCTATTTCTTGTTTTGTGCAACAGTCTCTCTTTTTTTTAATTGCATCTTCTAACTCCATTATTTTATTAATGTCTGAATTTATTAGTCTTTTCTTTTTTTTTCTGCATCTTCATACTGTTGAGGCCCCCAGCCCTTCTGTTTTATATAACCATGTGTGGTCCTGTCTGGATGGTTATATTCTGGACTTTGCTCTTGTTGCATTTGGACAGCAGGAGGACCAGGAAGTAAACAACGCTGTTCCAGTCTGCCCATCTTTTTTAAACCTTCCACTTGCCTTTACTAGATGAATTCACTTTTTGTGTGTGCATATGTAAATTAAGCTCTTTTTTTGTGTGTCTGTGTCCATGGGTTTTCTTTTTCCAGCATACTGTATCAGGATGCTGGCAACTTGTGCCAGAGAACTTTTTTTTAATTCAGATGCATTTTTCTGCCTAGAACTTAGTGGACAGCCTCTAGAGTTGTTGGTTTTACGAAGTGAGTGCTACATTGCAGGGCATTTCAGAACTTTTTTTATTTCTTTTTAACTTGTTTTGGTTTTTGAACTATCATTTTCGAAATTTAAGGGCAATGACGTGTAATGCTATTCAGTCGTGTAAAATATTTTGAAAGGTAATTTATAATGATCGCTGCAAATTACTTTTACTGGTGAACAGTACCTCAACAGGGAGAAGTTACTGCTCCTCTCGTTTCTTGACGAGATTCTGTGAAAGTGCATCGCTATTTTTTAGCTGTAGTATTTTATCTCTCTATTTTTAATTGCATCTTTTAGCTCCATTATTTTATCCATATACCATGCATTTGTATTTATGAAGAGCTTTCATGCTTCATCTTTCATTACTGTTCCTTTCTGTATATATATTCTGCATTAATAGCCGTTGCTTTTTCTCGGCATCTGTATGCTGTTCAAGCGTGCAGCCCTTCTGTTTTATGAAACTATACGGTCATATATATGGATGGTCATAATTGCTGACTTTGCCCTCGTTGCATTTGGGCTGCTGTTTTGTATGTGCACTCTAAATTTCCAACTAAATAAAGAATACTGTGTATTCCATGCTTTTTCCCGTTCTTCATTTATCAACCTTTTCTCATGTTTACCTTTATCCCAGTGATGGAAGTGCTGCGCCAATTGCGCCAAGGACGCAATCCTGCTACATGTAGCGCCAAATTGTCGTTTTACCGAAGAAATGCGCCATGCCTGCGCCGAGATGAGATATAGCAATACAAAATAAAAATTGAAGTCTTATCAGAGCGCGTGGCGGTACCGCGGTATTTTCCGCGCCGCAACTGTTAGGCAAACCGAAACTGCGAGGGCATATTATCATCATCATCATCATTGAAAGGAACAACGTTAGCAACACCTGAGACCAAAGCCGCAGAGACTAAGTGAAGAACCATCCCACTGAGCAGCCTGTTTAAAAAAAAAAGGCCGAGCTTGTGGATGTTTTCAATATTGGTCCACCCTGTTCCCGTGCGCTAGCTACCAGCGTAGTCAAAGCTAGTGCGAGCTTAATGCTCTGTGCATTCCTGACTCGCGCGCGGGCTCGTGCAGCGTGGGCACCGTTACGGGCTCCATGCGCGCGCTTGTAGCTTCGGCTGCGCTCGCACCGAAGCTGAAACGAAGTATAGTTGAGTTGCACCAAACTCTGGATGTAGTGCTGGTAAAGCCTCACCGTCCTTTTCGGAGCATAAAGCACCGCCCGACTGGCGCGACTGCAATGTCTGCTCTGGGGATGTCGCTTCTCTGCAGCGCGTCGATGCATGCCGAGGAGCGCACTCAACGGGTTAACTCGCCGTGATCCGATCGTGACTTCGCCAGCACATCGAAAATGGATCGGAATTTTTGAAGCGAATATCAGATACCGCAATGTTTGAAGCTTCTGCCCGGAAGACAACTCTAATCTGAACTAAAACATTCCACAACAGTGAGGGTCGTTAGATGCTGCTGCAGCAGATACCTTAAAAGAAGTGCAGGCTGATAAAGCTAAATATCCTGTACCATCAGAACTCAGTGTGACATATTTAATTTATTTTTTTTATCTGACGAGCAGATAAACTTTATTAAAAAAATGTTTTTTTGAGGTTACTTTGTTGAATATTATATATCCTGTCTTAAAAAGGCGACAGGCGTTGTGTTCCAATAATAGAGATGGGCTTTATATAACAATGCAGCATTATTTCATTTTCAAGTAATATGCCAACATATGCCGGATCCTGCTCCAAAAGGGCCACTACTTGCTCCAAAACAACATTTTGCCTGCTACAAGGCCTGCTCCAAAAGGTCCAATGGCACTTCCATCACTGCTTTATCCTTATAGCCACCAGTGAGCGAGTGAAAAGATGTGGAGCAACCCAGACTTTGTTTTGAACTGCAATTCGCCTGTAGCCCTAAATTTTGAAATTGGACCGAAGTTTTCATTTTGCAGAACCATGTTCAGCACAAACTTGTGTGGTTATTTCAGTTAGTACAGTACAAAAAATTAAGTTACTAACTTCTTCAGTGATAAGAATTAGTTTCTTTTAATTGAAACTGTTCATAAAATTAAAACCCTTTGCATAAAAAAAAATTCTTCAAACCTAGACATGCTTGTATCAAAGTCTAACCACACTGTCCACAAAGTCAAACCGGTCAAATCTGGTTAAAAGTATGAAGGTTCGTCAAAACCCCGAAAGTTTGACCTAAAAATCCGGTTTGGCAAAAGTTTGCGACGCCCGTAAGTTGCACAAACATATCGGACTTTATGGGAATTTTCATTTGGAGAAAGGCTGCATTTACATGTCCGGTAACTTTGGGGCTTATTTGATTTATTCGGATACCAGTACTTTTTTCAATATGCAACCATGAAAATTGGCATTTCTTCGTACCTCTTTTACTGAATTTGCTGGTAAAATAAAAACATTGTCATTCAAAGGTGCCGTTTTCTTCGTTGATGTATGTGCCATGTGGCAGCTACTATCAGACAAATTATTAAATTAGGAGACTGTCTACTGTAAAGTAAATATTTCAAACTATGCTACCTAAATATCCCATAAGAGATTCTGCAAGGAGCCATTAGTGCAGATTAACGTATTAACTTTTTTTTTTTTTGTAGTGCAACAATTTCCAACAGAAAATTGGGACCCTAGCTAAAACTGTAATTTACCACTTGTCCGTGTTAAGTTTAATTACAAACTATGTAACTTGTATTTTACCTTAACGACCTTACTGGAGTTTCAAATGGGAACTGGTAGTATTTATAAATAAATAGTCCAACTGTCTGAAAGATGTTCTGCAGCGATTGAATGTGTCGTAGGTCATGGCCGTAAAGACTAAATACATGTTCAATATTTTTATTTCTATGTCACTCTGAGGTACATAATAAAGCTGAAGAGCATATCTATTAGTTTTTTTTTAAATGTGTATCAAAAATATAAATGATAAAATCTCATGTTTATAATAGAACACCGTGCATATTAAACGTTGCTTCAAAGGCCAGTTTTTGGATGAAAAACAAAGAAAAAAAATGACCGCATCTCCACGTGGTGAATGATGTTGATTGGGGCGAAGCCCTGGTAGTGCTGATACGTTGAGCCGCAGCACGCCGAGCTTTTCGTTTGTTTTTATCCATGCCAAAAACAGATTGTTGGTTTGCTCTTTATGTTTATACAGCCTTGATGGAGATGCGCCTCAACGGGTAATCGGCCTCCTAGCTGTAGATGAGAAATTTAGCCAGTGCAGTACAACTGCTAACCTGGGATTTTTAACGTGCATCGCGCAGTAGTGATTACACAAACGCGTGCCGGTACGAAACTCATCCAGATCGAAACGGGCGGGGGGCGGCGGGGATCGAACCCAGGAGGTTGCCAGCGCAAACTTTCGCTCCACGCTCCGAGCTGAGACGCGTTAGCCCAGTCGGCCACTTCCTCCCCTAAAAGAGAATGTGTGGTATGGAACGTGGTTATATACGCATTTGAGCATTTGACCGCAGCGCCCTCTCATCTATAAATGTTGAGAAAATGCATGCAAAGTTTAACGCGATTATATACGCATCTGACCGCAGCGCCCTCTCCTGTATAGACGTTGAGTGGCTACATGCAGCGTTTCATCCATGACATCCCCAGCTCTTTAGTTACTACCACATCTCAGAGCAACCTCCCCTACTCGTCTCGCAGTCGTGGCTGAGTGTTTAAGGTGATGGACTAGAAATCCATTGGGGTCTCCCCGCACAAGTTTGAATCCTGTCGACTGCGCAAACATTTTTTTCTTTTTTTAACAAGACAGATGAGATGGCAATCGATGTGAGCACGGACGTGCCGGACGGACAAGGCTAGATCCTAAGGAGCTTCGCCCCTAAAACACTATAAACCATCAGAATATTAGTTGTGGCCAAAACGAATGGATGCATTTAATATAATGTCAAGCAAAGATGCAGGTCATGTGCAGAATGCGGTCACGTTCCTGGAAAGACTGCAATAGAGGAATATATCATTTTCAAACTCCCACCTCCTTCCACTTTAGCAGAGTAATTCCTGGAGAGGAGGTGACCTCCTCTCCAGCATTTGCTCTGCTTAAGTGGAGAAGGGTGGGAGGAGCCTCCGCCCTGCTGTGTGCACACATATTTCAGTGCTTACTCGGCAGACGGAACGCTAACTAGCCGAAGTGTAATGGCAAAGTAAAACCACTGAGACAAATAATGGTGTGGGATAAGAAATTCAAGATTTCTTGCGATGAAAAACGAAAGAAAAAGCGCGTGTTTGGAGATATATATTAAAAAGCCCCGTCAGCAGAGTTTCAATTTTTAATTTATACTTCTATTTCAGTTTCCAGTACCTGCCATGATATCGGCCATGCCACATTACCTCGACTCAGCAGAGGCGGCAGATGAAAAAGCCTCAAAGCTTACCAGAAGGTGCACGCCCTACCATTGTGGAAATAATTTCAAAAACTTTGGACCCTTCATTAACTGCCAGTTTGAACACCTTTTCACTAAGATTTTGGAGACTACAAAGCCAAAACGGGCATTATGCAATATACAAAATTCTGTTCGTAAAATGCAGCGGCCTCAACTCGGAAAGTACGCACATCAGACATTCAACGCAGGGGCGGGGGGGAGCTTTAGCGCCCCCCCCCCCCCCGAAGTTTAGCCGACCCTATAATATACACATGCATATTGGCTATTGGCACCCTCTCTGCACCCCGAATCATGGACATCTTGGCTACGCCACTGGTTCAGAAGCCTTCTTCGCAGCCTATCTTATTTGTTGGAGAAAATGCTTCGAAAGGACCTTCCATATTTTACTATATAAATCAATTCAGGCGTGATTAGTAATTTACCAGAGCAGGGGGAAAAAATGGCCAATGCACTACTTTAACACATAAGCCTCACAAAAAAAAGAAAAACAAAAACAGTTGTACATTATTTTTTTCTGCGACTTTAGGGCTTCTGCGCAGACGGGCAATGAAGAGCAGTGGCAATCATTTCATCGAACAACGTTTCATTGACATTGTTTCATCGACATGCGACATTTCATCGACATATTGTTTCATCAACAAATCACTTCATCGACGGCTCATATTAGCCTTTTTTTCTGTGTCGCCCGGTCAGGTGGTTTAAAATATTTTGTAATGAGCCGCCGCAAATTTGCATCGAAGCGGCGTAAACGGGGCAGCCGTACTGGTTGACACGCACCATAATGATACACGTGAATTGGAGGCAATGAAATTAAGAAGGATGACAAAGTGAAATGGAGATGAATCAAAGTGAATGGACCTTTTGTAGAAACATCGGATCGAGAGTAAATGGTTCCAGTACCCTCTCTCTCTTCCTTCTGGCCGAGCAGAGAGGGAAGATGGTTTCGTTGTGTCGACTTCGGAGCGGAAGATTACGCACGATGGGGACAAAGGCGAGTATGGGGGAGCCGTATCTAGGTCACAGCGCCTCATTGGGTGAACAGGATGTAGCTGACGTTTTGGGTGTGGAACGGGTGGGAGAGGCCTTGCGCGCCCGTTACTTCCCACCACTTAGCCTCAAACCCAGTCGCGTGTCTAGGTGGCAGCACACATTCGCCAAGAGGTCCA